TCTCAGGGAACTCAAATAGCAGGTGACAATTTACCAATATAATGTATATGACACAGGATTCACCTATGATTCACAAAATTTATTCTTTCTGTTGCTACATGAGTAAGTCACGTTAAGTCCAGGTTGAGTTATAGAAAAAGTAAGAAAATTAAATACACACAGCTTGAAAATGTTTCTTTGCCCAAATATAGGATGTAAATACGAAACAAAAGGTAGATTAACAGGTTTATTGATATGTTTTTTAATTATGTCTGGAAGTTGTGTTTAGGCTTTAGTCAAATTGGGAGACTGTTGTTATTGGGTTTTTTTTTTCTACTCTTTTTACTCTTTGCTCTTTTGGCACTTTTGGGGAACCCCACCACCCAGCGCCCAAATAAATCACACACAGAGTCTTATTATTTCTTATAAATGTCCAGCTTTAACTTGCTTTTTTCTAGCCATCTTTCCTTATCTTAACCTGACTACTTTTTGCCTCTGGGCTTTTTCCTTTTCTTCTGTCTCTTCCTTTCACTCTTACTCCTCCTCTCCTTGCTGTCTCCTTCCTCCCAAGTGTTTCCACCTGTTTATTCTCTCTGCCTGACAGCTCCGCGTATCCTTTCTCATGCTTTACTTTTGGTGTTCAGCCCTTTATTAGATCATCAGGGGTTCTAGACAGGAAAAGTATCACAGCTTCACAGAGTTAAAAAATGCAAAATAAAAGAATGCAACACATCTTTACATCACTAAAACAAGTGTTCCAGAGCATTGTAACACACCTTAAGATAATGCTCTACAACAGGAGACTGATGCTTGTTGCTAGAGAGATTGCCTGCTGGCCTATTAGCACACCTCTCAGTTCCCAAGGTTTTATATTGCATTGGCCTTGGTCAAGTTTTATATCTAGGAAGAAATCAGTATAGTATGTGTGTGTTCACGTGACTGTATATGCAACATGTGTGTTTAGTGGGCATGCACATGTATATGTATGCATGCATGCATGTAAAAGCCAGAGGTAGATATTGGGCATCTTCCTCAGTTGTTCTCAACCAAATTGATTAATTAACCAGTTAATTAATTTTGAGTCAGAATCTCCCAATGAACCTGAAGCTTGCTGATTCAGCTACCCTGTCTGGAGAGGGAGCCCAAGGGATCCTCCTATCTCTGTTTCACCAGTGCTGGGACTAAACATGTGTGCTGCCAAAGATTGGCTTTTTTATGTAGGTACTAGGGGTCAAACTCAGGTCACCAGGTTTGCATGGCACCCACTTTACCAACTAACTTAACTCCCCAGCTCATGAGATCATTGCACCTTCTAGATTAATTTGGGGAGTTCTACCTGAAAACTGCCAATAAATGGGTTTCTGACCTTAGGCAGATCACTCTCCTTCTCTGGGAAATAAAGAAGTAAGTGCAGGGGCTGGAGATATGGCTTGATGGTAGTATTTTTGTCAGGCAAGTGTGAAGCCTCTCATTCAATCCCCAGAACCAAAACAAAACAAAACAGAAAATAAGAAGTAAGTAGAATAATCTCTCAAATCATTTCTAATTCCTTGGTTCTGTGAGTTTGGGTTTAGGTAGATAATAAATCAATAAACAATAATCAGATAAATAGTTGATAAACAGATAGTTCAATAGGTACATGATAGACAGTAGGTGGGTAGGCAGATAGTAGCTGAATGATAGATGAGTAGGTAGATGTAGATTATATGTGTGTGTGTGTGGTTATATATATGTGTATGTGTATATATATTAGAAGATAGAGTGTATGCACACACATTAACAAGATCCAGAAGGGTCTGGTCCAAGGAGGATGGTTTGGGCCCCAAACTGGCTCTGTGCTTTCCCTGTCTCAGAGGAAAGGCTTGTTCTGTATCATATTTTTCTCATTAATAAATCAGAAGACACATGGAGTACCTATTGTGCACAAGCATTTCTAATTCTCTCAGTGTATTATTTCACTCAGTGATGGCCATCTGAGCGGTGGTACTGTTCTCGTTTTACAGTTGGGGGAGAGAAAATCGAGGAAGGGTTGACATCACCGTTACAGGGAGAAGAACCTGGATGTGAAGCCAGGTCTGCCTCACTACAGGAGTCTTGTTCCTTACTCTTGGTCACTGGTAGAGGCCCAGAACAAAAGGTTGTCAGAGTCTAGACTATAGACCCGATATGTCAAACAGGCACTGGCTCCAGGATGTAGCCCAGATGCCACAGGAGTGCTCTCAATTCTGGCCACTTACACTTTCCCTCTAGGTGGTGGTTTACCTCTGTCTGCCAGGAGTGGACCTGTATCGGTCCTGTTCTGCTATCTTTAAAGATTTGTTTATTTTTATTTTATGTGTATGAGTTTATCTGCGTGTACGTATATGCACTAGGTGAGTCCCTGGTGCCCACAGAGGCCAGAAGAGGTCATCAGATCTCCTGGAACCAGAGTTACACGAGCCATTGTGTGGGTTCTGGGAACCCAACCCAGGTCCTCTGCAAAAGCATCAAGTGTTGGTAACTGCTGAGCCATCTCTTCTGCCTCCATTCCCTGCTGTGTTCATCCATGCTTCATGTTCTAGAGAACTTGACTTTTCCTGCTCAGTGCCAAGGTTTCAGGGCAGCATAAAACCAGATAAGCTTTGTCAACACATATAACAAGACTTGGCAAGGCCCGACTTTCTTGGCCAATAGACATGGAATGAGATACTTTCAGATTTGGCCTCTCACATGTTCAGATGAAGGATGCACAAAGGTATCAGGCAGCTTCTCAGGTTCTGTTCTTTTTGTTGTTTTTTTTTTGGTGGGGGTTGTTTGTTTTGTTTTGTTTTGTTTTGAGACAGGGTTTCTCTGTGTAGCCCTGGGTGTCCTGGAACTCACTCTGTAGACCAGGTGGCCTAAAGTGCTGGTACTAAAGGTGTGGGCCACCATACCTGCTACTTCTCAGGGTTCCTTTTTTTAAAAAAAAAATATTTATTTATTATGTAGGAAGAAGGCACCAGATCTCATTACAGATGGTTGTGAGCCACCATGTGGTTGCTGGAAATTGAACTCAGGGTCTCTGGAAGAACAGTCAATGCTCTTAACCACTGAGCCATCTCTCCAGCCCACTTCTCAGGGTTCTTGACCTGTGCAGTGAAAAAGACAACGCTGAAACAAAAGGGAGGCATGGCTATGAGACCCCCTCCCCTGAACAGCCGATTGTAGACCGCACAAGACATTTGTATATTTTTGGCAAGTGGGACAGAAAGTCACACAGGCCATAGGAAACTGCAGGGAGAAGTCTCCTGTGAGCAGTTTCCCAGGGGAAACTGCCAAGAACGCCTCCTGAACCTCCTACCCTCTCTACTAAGATCCAGATAAGTTCTGGCAAGGCCCTTTGCTCTGTAGCTGTGTGGGTGCCAGCGATGTTGCCAAGATGTTGTACTAAAGACAATGCTCTACAGCTTCATCAGAATTGGAGGTGTGTTTACACGCCTAAGCACCTTGCTGCAGGGAGAGGAAGAGGAGCTTGACACAGGGTCTCCCTCTGCAGCAGGCTTTCCTGGTCTAGCACTCACGGTATAAACCAGGCTGGCCTCCATCTCAGGGCAGTCCTCCCGCCTAGTTTCCCAAGTGCTGAGCTACAGGTGCAAGCCACCACACCCTGCTGCTAAACACACCCTCTACCACTGAGCTACATTCCTAGCCAACTGAGGGTTTGCTTGTTCCTCTTAACCAAGGTCTAGAAGAGAGAAAATAAATTGAAAACTAGAAACTCTGAGTTTAACTCTTCCTTACTAAGTTGCCCAGACAGGTCTTGAACTTACACTCCTCCTGCCTCAAGTTCCTGAGCACTGGGATTACAGCCTGTGTTACCAGGTCTGTCTTCTAATTCACTGAGGATGCAAACTACACAAAAGCAGGGAACTTTGTCCTTTCCCCCACTCTTTGTGGACCCACATTTTAGAATAGTGTAAGCACATAGGAGAGAGTTCATGAGTGTGAAGCAAACACAAGCTAGCTCATGGGATTTTCATAATGAACTGGGTGTGTGATTGACTTCTTAACGCCTGCTCTCAGGTCAGAAGCTTCCTAAGGCACACTTAGAGAAAACCACTGTCCTTTCTTTCAGGGAACTCAACATCAAAAACTCGAGTGGAGACTCATTTAACCGTACAGTGGGTCAGTACTCTCTGTGCATGACATGGTGCCTGTGCATCATTAGTGCCATTACAGCAATACCAATGACACACAACTCCCACACACAATAGTAACAGAGACAGCGGAGGGGCTTAGCTTCTCCACTGACCTGATCTCCTCCTCCTCCTTTCCCTTAGCTAATGTATAGTGCAGATTAGGAAAGAAATTATGGGTCAAGGAATCAGCCTCCAACTATAAAAGCCACCCTTTAGCCTTATTTCTCCATTTCTAAAGTATCAGTGTCATAGACATTGTTCTCTTTCATTGCAACTAAGTGGCATGCTGTTGTACCTGTTTTACAGAGTGGACCCTGGCCTAACAAAGACTGGGTGGCCTACTGAAGATCTTTTACATTGAAGCCAAATTTCTCTACCTAAAGTCAGGTTTCTTTCCATCATAACTGTATAATGCTGATATCGCCAAAGCCAGAGCCTCTGTCATCTCAAAAAAGCAGGAATTTTTGCCTTTTTGGCTTCCTGCTTTAATGCAAAGGGGTGGGGACAGAGACAGACAGAAAGACAGCTCGCTATATAAAGGTTGGATGACAGCCTGAGGGAGCCGGTGTTCTTCCAAAACCTTTTGAACTCGGGCTCCAGTCTTGGTGGCAAGGGCCTGTACCTGCTGAACCATCTCACCGGCCCGTGAACAGGAAGTATGTCTATTTTAAGTAGGCATTGTAGATACATTGACGGTGTGGTGGGGTGAATGCTTGATTCCTCTCAGAACTTTTAGCAAATCTGTTTGGCGCGCCTCCTCCGGTCGCCTGGCGGCGCTGTGGGGTCCCGGTCGTGCGCAGTGGCGACAGTCGTCCTTCTTGGTCCGGCCGCTAGCCTTTCCCTGTCGGAGGGCGGGGTTCCAGGAACCGGAAGTGCCGAGGCCTCTGCCGCCGTCTCGGTCGCCGCCGCCTTTAAGTCTCTTCGTCCGCCGTCTGGGTGCAGCCGGTGCCGCCGCCGAGGAAGCTGCTGTGGCCCGGACGGGAGCGGAGGCGGCGCGGCATGAAGCGGCGTAGGCCCGCTCCATAGCGCGTCGGGACGGTCCGGGCGGGCCCGGGGGAAGGTGCAGTATCCGCCCGCTCTCCCTCCCCTGCGCCCGCGAGGCCGCGGTACTCCGGCCGGCCGACCTCAGGCCACTCCCGTGGGGCAGAGCGGGTGGCTGGGCCCCGCTGGCCGGAAGAGGAAGCACAGACTCGGATGGCGAGGCCGCCAACGTTCGCTAGGCGCCTCTGAACGCTGGCTGCTGCCCGCTCGGACTCGCACGTCCGTTATCTTGATAGAGCCTGGCTTGGGTTGGGATGCCGGGGAAGGTCCGGGCTTACGGAGGAGGAAACGGAAGTCTGCAAAGGCGAAGGGGTTCGCCTGAGGTCCGCCAGTGGCGGATGGGATTCACCTTCGGACTCGCTGCTTTTTCCCAGCCGGTGTTCCTTCCTCTCTCCTGCTTCACTCTAGATCCATTCCTCCGCGCTCACTCTCTCGCTGCCATTCTGTTCCACCCATCCGTTCGCAGTAGGGTCCTTGCCCTTCCTGTCCAGCTTGCTCATCCTCTTTAAGCCTTAGTGTTCAGACTGTCGTTCCTTGCCACATTCCCTACCACACCTCTTCTTCTTCATTCATAGCTTTCAAGTGGGGTGTGCAGAGTTTAGATGACTGATCAGCCCTTACCATAAAAACTGTTGGATGCTGTATCAGTGGACCACACCCCAAGAATCTCAAAACCCCTTTTAACCCAACATACCATTCTCAGAGTGAGGGACTTTGCGCTTTGAGAAGGTTATCTCTTGAATCTTAGCCTGTTGCTGCTGTCCAATTTTTTTTTTCCCTCCTTTGACCATATAGTTTTTCTCACCTTTCCATCTCCTATGTGGAATAGGGAGCTTGGAGTCTAACCTGGTGACAAATACGATGTAATCACATACACAAAAAATTTTTTCTAAGCTAGATTATCAACCGTCTTAGTGATTGTTTCTCCAGAAAAGCTACCCATCTCACTTATTCTCAGTAATATGACAAGAAAAAGAGGGCAGAAATGGAATGCACCAATAATAAATAGGGCATCCTTTACCTTGTCAAGAATTCTAGCTGGGTATGGTGGTGCATACCTGTAACCCCAGTATTTGGGAGACTGAGGCAAGGTCTTGAGTTCAAGGCCAGCCTTGGCTACAGAGTGACCCTGTCTCCAAACAGACAAATGAACACAATTTAGATGATTAAATTCAAGTTCCTTCTTTCAAAAAAAAGCGCATAATGCACATTTTTATCGTACTGAATTTATTTTCTCACCAACTCGATATGACATCATGTAAAAGAAACATAGGTGCATAGAAATAAATTATATCTTTGTGTGTGTGTGCTCGTGTGCGCTCGCGGCTCTACACACACATCTTGGGGATCAAGTGGAAGTCGGAGAATAATTCTTGAGAGTCAGTTCTCCCCAACTACCCTTTGTTGAGTCACTCTCAATTGCTGCATACTCCAGTCTAGCTGACCCTCCAACTTTGGCCCATTCCATCTATGACTCCCTTGTTGCATTAGGGATGCTGGGTTTACAGATATGCCAACACTTTCCTGGTTTTAAGGGATCCTTAGGCTTCTGCTGCAAATGCTTTTTACTCTTTAAACCAATTTCCTGATCTTAGAAATAAATTGCATCTGCCACTCTCAAGGCATTACAATTGGGACCTCACATCTATTTTATTTTCAATTTATTGCCAACTTAATTTTCAATTGTGTATATGTGAGGGTATGTACCTGTGAGTACAATTTCTGTAGAAACCACAGGTGTTGGATTCCCCCTTAGAACTGGTCTTAGCAGTGAGTGTGAGCAGCCGGAAGTGGATGCAGGGAACCATAATTGGAGCCTCTGCAATAGCATTACTTGCTCTTAACCCCTGAGTCATCTCCAGTCCACTTTTGCAATTTTTTCAAACCCTTCTAAAATTTTCCCTTTAATGTGTCTGGGTGTCAAGATTTACATTATTGTTAGACTTAACTCTTCAATTTGAGCCATACATTTCTGGAAAAAGTAATTTTGGAACTGGACTTATTAGCAAAGGCCTGTAATTTCAGCACTCAGGAGGCTGAAGCAGGAAGACTAAGAATTCAAACCTGCCTGGGATTTGCAAGACTGATCCAAAAAGAAAACTCGCTCACTTTCTCTCTCTCTCTCTCCACCTATCCACATACAAACACAATTTTGATAAGTTGAAGATCCAAAATAATTCAGGCATTACATATTACACTAAAAGGAAGTCTATCAGTTAATATCATTTTGGGGTTTTTAGGCTTTATTTTTTGGCCATATATGGTCCATTTTAATGACCAACAATCTCTTATCTGGTAAACAGGATTGGATGGTGAGAAAAGGAAAGATTCCTGTGAGAAGAGATCAGGATGAACGGAGAGCTCTGTGCTTAAAGTTGGGCCAGGTGAAAATGATCTCTTTCAAAGTAGAGATCTGAGCAGATGAAAATACAATCAGGTAGGCACCAGGGAAGGTCCACAGGTGAAGAGGTTGGTGGGACAGTGAAATGTATGCACTGAGCTGGGAATGACTAGGACCCTGTTTGAGAATGTATTGTATATAGAATGTCAGGGAATTATGGAAATTAGTTACATAGTTGTGCAAATTGCACCCCATCTGTTGTAGAAATGGCAGAATAAATAATTTAGTGTGAACAGAGCTGCAGAATGTCATTTGAACTATGCAATGTGTATATGTGTGGAAACAAATAGCACAGACCATTCAGAAAGTCTCAGTTTTTAAATAGAAACTGATGGGAGTTTTTATGAAGGATTCTAAAGTTGGTAATGACTCCAGCTGAGCAATAAGGCTCTGGAAGTCTGTTCTGAGTGGCTCTCTTCTGTTCCTCAGCCTTGTACTTGAAAGGGATGGAGTGGAGATGGGATTTCACACGTAAGAGAACTGAGTCAGGTTAGTATAGAGTCTTCTAATTTTAGTCCCTTGCTCCATCAGAAAACTAGGTCCTTTGACACACTTGATTGAAAATAGGCCTCTACTAGCTTTCAGGCGGGCCAGCAGCCACCACTTTCACATACTGCCACTTGATACTCTGAGTCCCAGCTATCTAAAAGCTCAGTTCTCTGCCGGATTTTAGTTGGTGGAACCTTGGATGCCAATGATGGCAGTGATACAACTCTACCTGATGTAACAGTATTTGGACTGCTCTAGTTTGTCAGTGTCACATTAGAAGTAACAGTATCATGCACTGTAACAAGGAAGATGATACCCTGTTCCCTGTGCACAGTTCAGCACTTTTGCATACCAGTAATGCAAATTAGGTGGACTGACTCACAGCCCACACTTCTCAGTAACTTGTTAGATCCCAGATAACTGAGCATGAATTAATGTTAACCTGCAAAGCTGAGCTTTAAAAAAAGACATCATCTTAAATACACAGCCATGTATTGATTATTGGAGAAGTAGTTAATGATTATGTGAAACATGGTTACATAAGTAGTTTGTTTTCTTTTGTGGAACTGGAATTGAACCCACCACAAAGTTAAATCTCTACGTGGTTTTATAATAGCTTTTTTGTTGTGGTGGTTATTTTTCTCTAATACTTTGCTCATGTTAGTTGAAATATCAGGAAAAAAATCAAGGGGGAAAGTATATCTTCTGGGTTTGTAAAATAAGTACAATCAGTTCTCAAAGCTATTAAGTAATTATGGTGTTAAACTGGTAATTTGAGTTCAGACTTACAAAATGCTAATGTGAACACTATATGCTTTCTTCATTAACTACTTCAACTAATTAAAGTCATTTAAAGATAGTATATTTTTCTTTTTTGAACAGTATAGAAGTTATATAATGAGAAAAAATAGTCATGTAGTTATCAGTAAAACACTAAGTACCATTGGTACTTGATAGTGTCTAGAGAAGAGCAGGAGGTTGAGAATGTATCAATCTGTAAGTGTTTAGTTGTTTGGAGCCCTTCTCTGCAAGAGAAAACAGTGCACTTTTTTAGGTTACTGCCCTAGTTATAAATTCAATGTTTGTAACAATGTTGTTACTATTCTAATTTATTACATTTTAGAAACAGTGATCAACATTTGATAGAAGTGTTACTTTTTAAAATGCAAAAACACTTACCTCCCTTGGCACATAGCTTCAGTATTGACATGCTTTGGGATGGAATGTAGCAGCCAACTGGCACATGGCCTGTTTCCTTCCAGTGTGGGAAAGGAAAAGGAATTTTGGCAAGAGATACCCCAAGGAGGGCCTTTTATAAAAGTTCCTGGAGGGATTTATACTCACTGTGAAATTGACATGACCTGAATTTTTTTTTTAAAAAAAATCTTTTTGGAACTGAGCACAGAGGTGGGGGGTGGGAGGCACCACTATTGCTTTTCTTATTGGGTTTCATTGCAGCTGTGTTGTAAGGCCTGTCATTGGTTTGTTTGATTGTTTGGTTGGTTTTTTGGCCCTATCATTGTGATGTGATAATATATGAACAGCTTCTTGTGCCTTGTTTATCCAGGAAAATGCAACATGGCAGCAGCAATGGAAACAGAACAGCTGGGTGTTGAGATATTTGAAACTGCAGAGTGTGAGGAGGGAACTATTGAATCACAGGATCGACCTAAACTGGAGCCATTTTATGTCGAACGATATTCTTGGAGTCAGCTAAAAAAGCTGCTTGCTGATACCAGAAAATATCATGGCTACATGATGGCTAAGGCCCCGCACGATTTTATGTTTGTAAAGAGGACGGATCCAGACAGCCCTCACACAGACAGGGTCTATTATCTTGGTGAGTGTGAAATTGCACTTCGGGAGAGGAGGCGTTTTCTTTTTTCTTTCTTTTTTTTTTCCCCCAAACTTTGGGGTGTGCCCCACAGGAATAAAAAAAACTGGGAAGGGGTAACCCTCTAACCCCCAGGAGTAGCCCAGGGGGAGAGAGGCTACCTGAGGGGAAGGAAGCACAAAAGGAACCCGCTGTAGACCCAGGGCAAAGGGAATGCCATTGGTGCTGGGACCTGTGAACACTACAAGAAGAAACTCAAGCATGGTGGGACTGGCTCCAGGCACACAGGCTCCTGCTTCAGTCTCTTCTTGTGTGTTGACATAACAGATGTGCTCTACCACATCCAGTAGGAACTCATTTTGGTGTGGGGGGTTGAGACAGGGTTTCTCTGTAGCTTTGGAGCCTGTCCTGGAACTAGCTCTGGTAGACCAGGCTGTCCTCGAACTCACAGAGATCCACCTGCCTCTGCTTCCTGAGTGCTGGGATTAAAAAGAAGAAATTTTCTAATCTAAAGTCACACTGAAATCTCATCCTGTAATTTACTGAAACTAACAACAAAATAAGATAATGAATTGTCTTAATTCTTTTTTTAAAATATTTATTTATTTATTATGTATACAATATTTTGTCTGTGTGTCTGTCTGCAGGCCAGAAGAGGGCATCAGATATCAGTTCAGATGGTTGTGAGCCACCATGTGGTTGCTGGGAATTGAACTCAGGACCTTTGGAAGAGCAGTAATGCTCTTAACCACTGAGCCATCTCTCCAGCCCCAAATTGTCTTAATTCTTATATTGTTTTATATGCTTTAATAAGTTTTGTCTTTAGCCAGGTGGTGGCGTGCATGCATGAGTGTGTGTGCACGTGCTCATACACACACAAAAATCATAAAAGAAAACTTTAATATCAGGGCATTTTTTTCTGACATTTGGGGAGTTGTTTTTATGTTTACTTCTTACTCTGGTTTTCCGAGACTGTCCATCTGCCCAGACTGACATCTAACTTACAATCCTGCCAATTGTAGACGTGTGTCCTGATACCATAGAATCCTTGGGGAGCTTGTTGTTATTTTCCTTACTTAGTTTTTTTGAGACAAGGTTTCAGTTAGCCCCAGCTGGTCTCAAACTCCAGATTCTCCTGTCTCTATCTCCTGAACTCCGAGATTACAGGTGTTTGGCTACCATGCCCAGCTTGAAACAATTTTTGTTTTTTAAATAATTTATTTTTATTTTATGTGCATTGGTATTTTGCCTGCATGTGTATGTCTGTGTGAGGGTGTCAGATCTTGAAGCTGAAGACAGTTGTTAGCCACCATGTGGGTTCTGGGAATTGAACTCAGGTCCTCTGGAAGAGCAGTCTGGAAGTGCTCTGAAATGCTGAGCCTTCTCTTCTAGCTATGAAACATTGTTTTTATTGAAGAAAATTTCCAAGGCATAAGGCATGTACACATCCTACTCAGTAACACCATTTTGGTTCCTGTGAAATGGAAAACATTGTAATATGTAGAAGACATTATGTATTTATGACTATTGTTGTAATAAGGACAGTATTACAAAATAGTAATATGTTTTTTTAGTAATATGGGTTTTTTTTTTCCCCCTTATAGCTATGTCTGGTGAGAACAGAGAAAATACACTATTTTATTCTGAAATCCCTAAAACCATCAACAGAGCGGCAGTCTTAATGCTTTCTTGGAAGCCTCTTTTGGACCTTTTTCAGGTTGGAAAAAATATTCTTGTTTCTATGATTTGGTATATATTTTCTCATTTATTTCAGGACAAAAACTCATCCAGGACTTTATATTTTAAGTAGATGTGAATTAAAAGGAACTAAAATATTTTATTATTGTTACATGTATGACCTTAAAATCAACCAATTCCTTATATCTAAAACCATAGAACATTACAATTCAAGTTTTTGGTCTTTCGTTTCATTTATTTTAAATACTTTAGATTTCTTTAGGTTGTATGGATGAATGATTGCCTGCATGTCTGTCTGTGCACCATTGCATGACTGGTACATGACTGGTGGCAAAAGAGGGCATTGGACCCCTTGAAACTGGAGTTATAGATAGTTGTGAGTCATCTATGTGGGTGCTGGGAATCAAACTCGGGTCCCTTGAAGAACAACAAATATTCTTAAACACTGAGCCATCTCTCCAGCCCTATTTTGTTTGTATTTGAGACAAGGTTTCACTCTGTACTCTGATTGGCCTTGAAGCTCACTATGTAAACCAGACTGGCCTCGAACTTCTGTCAATCCTCTTGCCTCTGTCTTCTGAAACTTTGTACATTCCTGTAATCCCAGTACTTAGCAAAGGTGGAGGTAGAAAAGCCAGAAGATCAGAAGATTGAGGTTAGCCAGTGCCCCACCACACATGCTCACAACAGTCTATTCTCTTGACTTGCCTAGAGTATGCTCAGCTGCTATGTTCAGTCCCTACCTAGGTAGCTGGGTTAGATCCCTGCTCTACAACTAACTGTATGCAAAATTACCTAATTATGATTAGATTATAGAGGGCCTTGACTACTAAGATGATGGATTTTATTCTTGTTTTCTAATGTCTGCAATAGTGATTAAATGGATCTTTACGAAATTTCAGGAGAGTTTCTGAAATTAATCTACTTACTGGCAACTTTAGAGTCATTCAGGGCACAGACTAAGCCCTGGAGAGATACTAGAGTTTCATTGAGTTGCAAAGGCCTGTTCTTGGGAGACTGGAATGGGTGACTTTCCTTTTGTCTTAGGCGACACTAGACTATGGGATGTATTCTCGAGAGGAAGAGCTACTCAGAGAAAGAAAGCGCATCGGAACCGTGGGAATCGCAGCTTACGATTATCACCCAGGAAGCGGAACATTCCTGTTCCAAGCTGGTAGTGGAATTTACCATATCAAAGATGGAGGCCCACACGGATTTACAGTAAGTGGCAGTTATTGTGTGTGAAATGTTTTGGGGTCCTAGAGAGAATTTGTACCCAAAATCAGAAAGGAAATAAATGAACAAACCAAAAAAGTCAGTTTACCCACCAGCTAAGAAATTAATATTAGTTTTTAATTTTAAGAGTTGATAGCTTGGGACCAGTGAGAATGGCTGGACAGTTAAAAACACCAGCCGTTTTTCCAGAGGACCCAAGTTCAATTCCCAGAATCCACATGGTGGATCATAGTTCCAGATCCTACACCCTCTTCTGGCTTCCATAACACCAGGCATGCAAGCAGTACGGACATGCATGTAGGCAAAACGCCCATACACGTTAAATAAAAATAAAATCTTAAACAAACAAATGAAAAACAGGCACTGGAGAAATGGCAGTTCAGTTCCCAGCATCTACATCAGGCAACACACAGCTGCCTGTAACTCCAGCTCTAGAGGATTCCCTGGCTTCTACAGGTACTTGCACCCACATATGCATAAACATAGACAGACACACATAGTTAAAATTAAAATAGCTGGGCAGTGGTGTTGCATGTCTTTAATCCCAGCACTCAGAAGGCAGAGGAAGGCAGATCTCTGAGTTCAAGGCCAGCCAGGTCGGCAAAGTGAGTTCCAGGACAGCCAAGGCTGTTACACAGAGAAGCCCGGCCTCCAATAACCAAAAAAGGATAAAAATAAAAATTTTGAAAAGGTTGGTTCCATTTTTCTAAAAATTTACTTTATATGTCTTGGGGAGGTGTGAGTACAGGTGCTCTCAAGGCTAGGGTATAAATCCTGGAGTTGGGGGCAGTTGTGTGCTGTCTGACATGCACGCTGGGAATTAAACAAGCTTTCTCAGCGAGAGCAGTATATGCTCTTCAGCCCCAAGGTAGAAATTTTAAAATGCTCAAAATCTTTTCTGTGTTGAGAGATACAGAAAATGGCATCAATTTTCATTTTCTCTAAGTGATAAGGGAGATCTTGAAAGGTATTATCAAGGTGTTTTATCTTTTTGGTTTCCCTGAAAAGCTTATTATTTTAATAGATGAATTTTTGTTTGGTTTTATTCAAAGTAATTATTTATGAACTATTGAAGCTATGCTTTTCATAGAATTGTATTGGTTTTAGCTATCATTTCACTAAAATTTTTGGAAGGGCTGGAGAGATGACTCAGTGGTTAAGAGTACTGGATGTTCTTCCAGAAGAGCTGGATTCAATTCCCAGAACCCACATGACAGCTCACAGTAGCCTGTAACCCTAATTCCAGGTGATATAATGCCCATTTCTGGCCTTACCAGGCACCAGTCACATTTGTGGTACACAGACATGCTTGCAGACAACACACCCATATATATACATAACATGAAAATAAAACTTTTTAAAAAGTTAAGATTTTCCATGTATTTATTTGTTTGTTTGGTGTGTATGTGTATACTTGCATGCCACAGGGTGTGTATGTAGGTCAGCGGACAAATTGCAGTACTCAGTTCTCTTATTGCACCTTGTAGGACCCAGGGTCTGAACTCAGATTGTTGGTCTGAGCAACAGGAGCCTTTACCTGCTGAGCCATCTTACCATGCCTCATTACATTTTTTATAAGTGAATTTATTTTTATTGGTAAAATTTTTAAATGTTTCATGATATGTTCGAAATTGTGTTTGAGACTATTCAACACGCCAGGCATAGTGGCAGATGCCCTTTCTTCCAACACTCAGGAGACAGAAGCAAGTGGATCTCTGTCTGGTCTACTTAATGAGTTCCAGACTAGCTAAAAGCTATAGTGACACCCTGTCTCAATAAAATGTTTGGGGCCTAGAGAGATAGCTCAGAGATTAAGAGTACTGACTGCTCTTCCAGAGGTCCTGAGTTCAGTTCCCAGCAACCACATGGTGGCCCACAACCACCTATAGTGAGATCTGGTGCCCTTTTTTGGCGTGTAGGCAGAGACTGCCTACAAAATCAATCAATCAATCAATCAATCAATCAATCAACAAATCTTTTTTAAAGGATTTCTAAAAAATTTAAAGATTTAAAAAAAGATTTATTTATTATGTATATAGTGTTCTATCTGCATGTATGTCTGCAGACCTCTGAGCCATCTCTCCAGCCCCCTTAAATAAATCTTTAAAAAAAAAAGTTCAAGAGTGGTGGTGGTGGTGGTGGTGGAGGAACACACCCTTAATCCAAACACTTAGGAAGCAGAGGCAGGTGAATCTATGAGTTTGAGGCCAGCCTGGTCAACAGAGTGAGTTTCAGGACAGCCAAGACTACACAGAGAAACCCTATCTCGGGAAAAAAAAAAAATTATAAAGCTTAAAAAAGACGTTCAACAGATAATAACCATTATACAGGCTGAGCAGCAGACTTCATAAAATACTCTTACACTGTCTTGATGTGTAATGCAGTATTTATTCTCTATTACTCTTAGCTTTTCCATTCATCCTTTCAAAAAGAGCCATGAATAAGTTAAAACAATTGAAAGTATATATATATATATATATATTTTTTTTTTTCTGGGATGTAGCTGCTTTGGACATTTTAGTTAGAAAGGGCATCTATCTTATAGGAAAAAAACTGGAAAACAAACTTGTATTTGTGAACCTGATAACTTACCTTAAAATGTTGTTGACTTTTCTAGCAACAACCTTTACGGCCCAATCTAGTGGAAACGAGTTGTCCCAATATACGAATGGATCCAAAATTATGCCCTGCTGACCCAGACTGGATAGCTTTCATTCACAGCAACGATATCTGGATCTCGAACCTCGTAACCAGGGAAGAACGGAGGATCACCTATGTGCACAATGGTAAGGCAGAGCTTTGCAGCCTGGATTTGCTGATTTGTGTGTGGAAAGCTGGTTTTGATTTTACTTCCATTTGAAATTAATGCAAACTGGGTGATTTTTATTTTTTAAGTTCAGATGTTTAAAAATTGGAAGGTATGGAGAAGGAGAGAGAGTACATGGTCTGCACCCCTTAGATAATGCCACTCTCTTCTCAGCCCTTTTCAAGTACCACAGTGCATCTCTTGTTCTTCTAGCCTAGAAGGGCTGGCCCCAGGTCCCCAAACCTTTCTCAATAAGTGAAATTTTAATTAAGAAAATTAGACTTGTTTGGCAGATACAGACAGAAAAAACAGTTCCACATTATTAGATAGCCCCTGAAAAACAATCTCCCCATTTTGGAGAGCCTATTTAGCTACTGTTTTATAGTGGAAAAAATGGAATGTGGCAGAACCATGTGCATTGTGGAAATATTTAAGTAGGATTTATTGAGTGACAAACGGAGTCTGAGGCATTAGGAATACAAATTCAATTATGTCTCAAAAAAACAACAGCCACACATAGTGGTGCCTCTAATTCCAGCACCTGGGAGACAGAGACAGGCGGGTCTCTGAGTTTGAGGCCAGCCTGGTCTAAAGAAGGAACTCCAGGACAGCCAGAGCTACACAGAGAAACTCTGCCTCAAAAACAACAACAAAACTAAAAAGTTTCAAAAGGTAGAACTTGAATTTGTCATAGATTGATTGCTGGACTGAGTTCACAAAGAAGAAGAATGAAGAAAGAGGAAGTATGAGAATGAAGGCCTTCCTGTAGCTTCCCAGCATTTTCTCCATCCTCACTGTCTCTGCATTGCTGGGTCATTTGCTGTACTTCTCATTCATATATTACATGCAGTTAGGCCCATGATAACTGTGTGTCTGTAATGGACACATGCATTTTGTGATATTATTGGTCATTCCCTCAGCAATGCAGTGAAATAACTGATTACATTGTCTACAGTGTAAGTCAGTAATCTCATTAAAATCTGCATGAGGATGCACTTGGGCTCTGCGGAAACACTAGTGTTTTATATAAAAAGACTTGTGGTATTTGAACGGGATCTAAAGGAGAACTGTGGCAAGTGTACAAATTGAATAAGGCGATGCTGGCCATCAAGCAACTAAATAAACAATCATAGCAATTCAGAGTAGGTCAAATGAGGAGTACTATAGAGCACCAAGAGAAGCAGTATTTGGGGAAGACTTTCCAGAGATCATTGTAATTGATCTTAAGTGGTGCCTATATGTTAGCAAAGTATTCCAGAAAGCGAACTGTGTGATAAAAGTCTTATTCTGAAAGGTGCTGTGGCCTTTGTGAGGAGCTGGAAGCACTCAATTGTCCAGTACTGGTGGGGATCAATGGAGGAGTCTTCGGCAGATGAGCCAGGTGGCTCTGGTTGTACTGTCATAAAGGGTTTGGGTGCTACAGACCATGACACCAGAGCTTGGCAGCTGTCATCACTGAAGTCACAAGTCTTGAAAATTGAAGCCCTTTTTCATCCTGTCAACAAACACTGATCACTACACACCACTTACTGTATTTGAGACTGAGACTAGAAGCTCTCACAAAAACTGTCAGAAAATAAGGCATTTTAAAATCTTTTTTTTTTTTTTAATTCAGGCTTTCTTTTTCTTTTTGTTAGCCCTGGTTGTCTCAGACAGAACTCACTACATAGACCAGGCTAACCTTGAACTCTAGAGATCTGTCTGCTTCTGCCTCCCAAGTTTGCTGTTGTTAAGGCTGTGCACCATTATGCCTGGCTTTCTTTTATAAAATTGTTTTCCTCAGGAAGTAGAAAAAGACAAGATCTTCTGAGTAAATTGAAAGAAAGCATGGGGACCTTGGGAAAGGGTTGAAGGGGCAGGGGAGGGCAGGGAGGGGAGCAGAGAAAAATGTAGAGCTCAGTAAAAGTCAATAAAAAATTACAAAAAAACCCTACAAACCAAAAAAATTTGTTTTTCTCAGAGAATTTGTGAAGAGTGGTAGAATTTAAAGTAGAAAGTACTGGAGTTCTGGAGGATATTATAGTTTTTACTTTTTTCTTTACTATTCATATAAGGATGTGGTATATTTATTATTTCTGTTATTAGTGTAGTGGTTAAGAGCACAGGTAGAGAATATAGAATGTAACAGAACCAGGCCCTCTGAGTTAATTCTGACCTCATCAAATTAATATATCTCTTGGTTTCTACATATGTAAAAATGTGAGTATAATCACAGGATTTCCAGGAGGCCTTAACAAGTTAATTTTTGTGCAGTGTTTAGAATTATGACTGAAGCATAGTAAGGGCTGTGAATTGTCTGCTTAGATAGAAAGAGATGGAGGGAGGGAACGTGGTCAACAGTGTGTTAATCACAGGAGGGTGGGATGAAAGCCCATCTTAGAAAATGAATTTGGTCTGTCAGGGTACATGTGTGTTTATTCTCTGCTTAATATGACAGAGAAATTTAAAAGTACTGGTTCCTGCCCTCATTTACCCTCTACTGGGAAGACAAGGTGATACCAGTTAGCCAGTTAGTGACTTGTAATATTGTAGCAGAAATACAAACAACAGTGTTACCTGTCCTCACATTTAAAGAAGAACAGAATAGATAGAAAGTTGGAGTGTAGTTTAAAGTAATTGAAGGATGCTAGAAACCCATCACTGATCTTGGCTTTTTTACTAATTCCTTGTTTCAGAAAGCTCAGAACACATTGTTGTCATTAGCTTGGGTCTGAAACTCATTTGGTAGTAAAATCTGACCTGAACTGGCTTGAGAGTATTTATAACATTTGCCCTGCCTGCTCAGCATGCTTTCCCTTTAGTTTGCTGCTGGAATGGTGGGGTGTTAGACTACAGCTTATCTGTCTGTGCTGCTGCTGCTGTTACACAGCACCTCATAAATGTGCACTGTAGGAAGAGTCTCTGAATTCCAAATACCTGACTCGGTTTTTGAATAAGGGAAGTATTGGTTCTTATTGAACATTCATTTCACATAATGTAGAATACAGATGATCAAAAATGGCAAATTAAAGCCAGCTGTAATGGCACATTCCTTTAATTGCAGCACTTGGGAGGCAAAGGCAGGCAGATCAAGGCCAGCCTGATTTACAGAGTGAGTTCAAGGGCAACCAGGGCTACAAAGAGAAACCCAGTCCAGAAATAAACAAATAGAAAGAAAGAAAGAAAGAAAGAAAGAAAGAAAGAAAGAAAGAAAGAAAGAAAACAAAATTAAATCTTACCCGTGCTGGGCACGGTAGTATATGCCTATAATCTAAGCACATAAGAGTCTGAAGTAGGATTACGTGCAGTTCAAGACTAGCTTGGGCAGCATAGCAAGACCCTGTCTTTAAAACAGAAAATAAAATCATAATAATATATTACTGCCCACCAAGTAAACAAGCAAAAGTGAGAATATTGAGAACACCAACTGTTGGTAAGAGTGTAGAATAATAAAAATGCATCCCCGCACAGTTAAATACACTAACAAGTATCTTGGGATACTTGCTCAAAGATATTAAAGCACATGTCCATGGAAATTACTGTGTAAGAATAAATGTTCACATCATCTGTATTCACAGTCACCAAAAGCAGCCCACATGTCAGCAGAAGAATGGATGAAAGAGCCACAATATCACCCAACATGGTGGCCCACACCTTTAGTACCAGCACTCAGGAGGCAGAGGCACCCAGTCTCTGCGATGAAGGCTAACTTGGTCTACATAGTAAGTTCTAGGGCCAGCCATGGCCTATCACATAGCAAGACCCTGTCTGTCTTAGTTACTGTTCTATAGCTGTGATGAAATGTCATGACCAAGGCATTTAATTGGGAACTTGCTTATAGTTACGGAGGGTTAGTCCATGTTTAGTATGACAGGAAGTGTGGGGGCAGGCAGGCAGAGAGAGACTGGGCCTTGCTTCGGTTTTTGAAACCTTAAAGCCCACCCTCAGTGACATACTCCTCCAATAAGACCACACCTCCTAATGCTTCCAAACCATTCCATTAACTGGGGACCAAGCATTCAAGCATATGAGACTATGGGGACCATTCTTATTCAAACCATTCCACTGTCTTAAAAAAAAAAATCCATTGTATCTATGAATTATTACTTAACAAACAGGAACTAAGTACTGATAAATGTCAAAACACTGATGATTTTTAAAAACAAGTCACATTCAAATTATACTGTAAACATTTTGCCCATGATACCAAATTTTACATAATGATGGCTTTGTGATTTATTTGTTTAGGTAGTTATTGGTGCTTAGGGTACTAGAGCCAAGCAAATGCTGATGTGTCATAATGGAGTGAATCAATTTCCCCAAGGTCATACAATAGGTAAATGGCGAGGCTCAGACTTCAATTCAGTCTGGCTCCACAGTTGACCACTACAGTCAGTTACCTTTTTCTTTTTTCTTTTTCTTTTTTTGTTTTGTTTTGTTTTGTTTGTTTTTGGTTTTTGGTTTTTTAGTTTTGTTTTTTCAAGACAAGGTCTCTGTGTAATAGCTCTGGCTATCCTGGAACTGGGATTCATATACCAGGCTGGCCTCGAACTCACAGAGGTCTGCCTGCCTCCACCTCCTGAGTGCTGGGATTAAAGGCGTGCACCACCACCGCCTGGCCAGCTTCCTCTCTTTAGAAGTGATGGAATATTTTGCTTTGTCATATTGTAAAAGAAAAAAAAAAGTTTGAAGGATAATTTTGCCTGTTTGGTTTGTCCAGAATTAGCCAACATGGAAGAGGATCCAAGATCAGCTGGAGTTGCTACCTTTGTTCTTCAAGAAGAATTTGATAGATATTCTGGCTACTGGTGGTGTCCACAAGCTGAAAGAAGTAAGCAAGTTTAAAGTAGTATGTTACAGGTCACTCTAAGGATTAAAGGTTTTGACTGTCAATTGGCTGAGTGTACAGAACATAAAGCTGGGGCAATATATGAAAAGGTGATGAAGATTAGACCTTACTAGTAGCTATTTAGAAAATATAGGCCTTATCCCCCTCATGAACCCTCGTAGAGAGTTACACTCTGCCTCAGTACCTCAGGTGCTGCTTGCCAATTTTTCAGCTAGAAAGCTGGTCTGTAAGGTCAAGCAGCGTTATGACAGGATCTACACTAATGACTTGCTGTTAACACATGTGATTGAAGCTGGGCAGTGGTGGCGCATGCCTTTAATCCTAGCACTTGGGAGGCAGAGGCAGGCAGATCTCTGTGTTCAAGGCCAGCCTGATTTACCAGAGCTAGCTCCAGGACAGCTAGGGCTGTTATATAGAGAAGCCCTGTCTCGAAAAACCAAATAATAAAGAAGGGGGGAGGGTTGAGTAGCATCTGTGTGAGCAGATGAGTATGTATGAATGAGTCTGAGGGGCTTAAAACAGTGGCCCACTGCTAACCACTGTCCAGTGGAAATTCACTTACAGTCATATGTGGTCTAATATAAAGTGGACTTATTTTATAGACAAATTTGGAAACCTACATGTATATAAGTGTGCCATGTGTGTGCCTGTGCCTACAATGACCAGAAGAAGGTATCCAATCCTAGGAAGTGGAGTCACAGTTGGTTGTGAGCTGCTACATGAGTGCTGGGAACCCAGCTGAGTCCTCTGGAAGAGCAGCAGGTGTTCTTAAGTGCTGGTTAGGACTCATTAATAGATCTATGGCATCACTATTGGTTTACAGCTAGCAAGCTGAACATTTCTTTTGTGTTTTCAAGATATAGTTACTCCCTGTAATCCTGGCTGTCCTGAAACTTGCTCTGTAGACGAAGCTGGCCTTGAATTTACAGAGATCTGTCTGCCTCTGCCTTCCAAGTGATGGGATTAAAGGCGTGGGCCTCTCCCGCCCACCTGGCATCTGAACATTTCTTTAGAGGGCATTGAAAAATATGTATTTTAATCCATGTCTTAGATTTGGACTTTTATTTTATAATGCAGACGTTTCCCATAATTATATAACTAACTCAGCATTTTATAGCAAATACTAGGTTTTATCATGCCAAAATTCTTCAAAATGTTTTCCCTGTTTGTATAGGTATGTATGTGTACACACACACACACACACACACACACACACACACACATCTTTTTTTCCCTCCCAAAAGGGTAAACTTTAAGTCCTAGTAAAAGGAACTTAGAAGTCATCCTGCAGTTGTAAAGATGAGGAAGTTTTCATGTGCAAAACGTAGCACAGGGTCCAGCAAGTTGGCTCAGCAGTTAAAGGCACTTGCCGCTGCCCAATAACCTGATTTTGTTCTGTGGGACCCCACATGGTATAAGGAGGGAACTGACTCTCAAAACTTGTCCTCTGGGGACTGGAAAGATGGCTCAGCAATTAAGAGCACTGACTGCTCTTCCAGAGGACACGGGTTCAATTCCCATTACCCACATGACAGCTAGCAACTGTCTATGACTGACTGAAAGATCTGACACCCTCATACAGACAAACATGTAGGCAAATATACCAATGCTCATGAAATATAAAAAAATAAGTGTTAAAAAAAAGAAGAAGAAAATGAACTTGGTTATACATCTTGTCCTGTATAACTGTGGAAAAAAATATATTTTAAAATGAAATGTCCAAATCTCAGATATGATTTTTAAATATTTTTCATGTTCCATTAATGAAATATTCAGTCTTAAAAAAAATAAAAAAGAAGTTATCAGACTTCTAGCTGTAAATCACTAATAAGACTTACACACACACACACACACACACACACACACACACACACACACAAGTGAATAAATAAATATAGTTAAGGGCTGGAGAGATGGCTCAGTGGTCAAGAACATTGCCTGCTCCTCCAAAGGTCCTGAGTTTAATTCCCAGCAACCACATGGTGGCTCATAACCATCAGTAATGAGGTCTGGTGCCCTCTTCTGGCCTGCAGGCATACACGCAGACAGAATATTGTATACATAATAAATAAATAAATAAATATAGTTAAAATTTTTTGTTTTGAGACAAAAATCACAGCCTAGGAGTACAGCCCACTGGTAAAGTACTAGCCTATCATGTTTAAGAACCTGAGTTCAACCTCTAACACCCCTAATTCATAATGGTGCTGTATCTTATGCATGAATTATTTCCTTCAGTTCAAAACCTAGTTTTAGAGGGAATAGTGAATGATGAGTATTCTGTAATAATTATTCTAAATTTCCAATACCTAAATTCCTTTTAAGCTCCTAGTGGTGGTAAAATTCTTAGAATTCTCTATGAAGAAAACGATGAATCCGAGGTGGAAATTATTCATGTTACATCTCCCATGTTGGAAACAAGAAGGGCAGATTCATTCCGTTATCCTAAAACAGGTACTGCATTCCACTGTTCTTATTTATTCATTTCCTCCTCTAGGTGTGGTGGCTCATGCCTGTAGTCCCAGTCAGTACTTGGAAGTCTATGGCAGTAGGAGGGTTGTTAGGAGTTTCAGGCCAGCCTAGGATACAAGATGAGATCTAGTCTCTAAAAACAAAAACCATGGAGAGAGAAGGGATATAAGGAACATACCTAAATATAATTAAGACAGTATACAGCATGCCAACAGCCAACATCAAACTAAATGGAGAGAAACTCCCAGTGATTCCACTGAAATCAGGAACAAGACAAGGTTGTCCACTCTCTCCATACCTATTCAATGTAGTTCTTGAGGTCCTAACTAGAGCAATAAGACACCAAAGGGAAATCAAGGGGATACAAATTGGAAAAGAAGAAGTCAAACTCTCACTGTTTGCTGATGATATGATAGTTTACATAAGTGATCCCAAAAATTCTACCAAGGAACTTCTACAACTCATAAACACTTTCAGCAATGTAGCAGAATATAAGGTTGACTCAAAAAAATCAGTAGCTCTCCTGTACACAGATGATAAAAGGGCTGAGGAAGAAGTCAGAGAATTAACACCCTTCACAATAGCCACAAATAGCATAAAATATCTCGGAGTAACTCTAACCAAACAAGTGGAAGACTTGTATGACAAGAACTTTAAATCTTTGAAGAAAGAAATTGAAGAAGACACCAGAAAGTGGAAAGACCTTCCATGCTCTTGGTTAGGTAGAATTAATATAGTAAAAATGGCAATCTTACTGAAAGCAATCTACAGATTCAACGCAGTGACCATCAAAATCCCAGCAAAATTCTTCAAAGACCTCAAAAGGACAGTTGTACTGTGGGCTTACCATTTCCAAAGACTTTTAAGTGATTTTGTTCTTAATGAGTAGGTGGTGTTTGTTTGTTTTGTTCATTTTACTGTTTGCAACATTTCAGTTACGAAAGTAGTAGACAACTTCCCTTTGTTTTCCTACTGACTCTAGTTTTAGCCTCTTTCCTGTTAGCTACTCATATGAATTTGAAATAGGTTCTCCTTTGCACAATAAGTCCTGACTATATACAATATTCCTAATTTAACTAAAATCTGAAGGACAGTGATCTGAAGAAGTTGCTTGGAGTAATTCTGGACATTATTCATTTATGTTTCCTTCTAAAGGCACAGCAAACCCAAAGGTCACTTTCAAGATGTCAGAGATACTTGTTGATGCTGAAGGAGGGGTAAGTGTGAGGCACTGAGCATTCTGTGCTTTGGCTTCTGGTGTAGGAGACTCTTTGGTGCACTTTTTGTCAACTTGTTGAACTTATTGAGACATTTGTCATTTGTGATTTATAGGTTGACCTAATTTTCTTCCTTGAAAGCATTCATATTAGGCCTGTGGGAGGGTTATGTAAGAACCACATTAAATCCCCAGAACCCACATTAAAAAAGCTGTCGGTTAGGCCGGATGGTGGTGGCAGAGGCAGGTGAATCTCTGATTTTTGAGGCCAGCCTGGTCTACAGAGCAACTTCCAGGACAGCTAGGGCTACTCAGAGGAACCCTATCTCAAAAAGACAAGAAAAAAAAAAAAAAAGAAAGCTGGCCTTTGTAGTATGTGCATAATCCCAGCACTGGGGTGGGCACAGACAGATCACTGGAGCTCTCCAGCCAGCCAGTTTAGCCTGCCTATTGAACTCCAGACCAGTGAGAGACTGTGTCTCAAAAAATAATTTCTGAGGAGTAACACAAGTCATCTGGGCTCTGCACATATGCGTTCACCACACAAACATGTTTTTGCTCCTTGCAGGTAGTTTTTGCTCTTTGCCTTTATTAATTATTCAATCAACGTAAAACAGTGTTTACCTTGTGTGTTGGGTATACATCACATTTATGGTGGATTGAATAACTCATATTTCTCTTGTACTGCTGCTTTCCATTTGGACATGCTCACAAGATTAGTTAAAATGCAGATTTGCGGGGGGACTGGAGAGATGGCTTCTCAGTTAAGAAGAGCATGTTCTTGTGGAAGACCCAAATTCCATTCTTGGCACCCAGGTCGGGAAACTTCCTACCATCAATAACTCCATCTTCAGAGGATCTAATATCCTCTTCTGATTTCCATAGGTACCTGCATTCAAGTGCACATACATACATATAGATACACACATACACATACCTAAAAATAAATATTTTTATTTTTAAAAATAAAAAACCTGGGGAGGGTGGTTTTTTGAGATAGGCTTTCTCTATGTAGCCCTGACTGCCTTGGAACTCACTCTGTTGTCCAGGCTGGCCTCAAACTCACAGAAATCAGCCTGCCTCTGCCTCCCAACTGGACTGTTGGGATTTAAGTTATAGGCCACTATGCCTGGTTTTAGACTTTTTAAAAAAACATAGCTTTGCTGAGATATCATTTGCATACAGTGCAGTTCATTCAAGTTTCAAATTCAGTGACTTTTTGTATAACCACAGAGTCAGGCAGCCAGAGTCCATTTTAGAGCCTTATCATTACTACAAAGAGGAACACCCCACCCCTTAGCTATAATCCCCCAGTTCTAGGCAACCACTAAGAATGCATGAATGAAATCATACAATATGTTGTCTGGCTTCTTTGTTTAATGCTTTCAAGGTGCATCTGCATCATGCATTAGTACGTGTGTGTGTGTGTGTGTGTGTGTGTGTGTGCCCACATGTGCTGCTCGAGAACTCTAATAAGGGCCCCAGTCTTGTTGCCTTTCTGCTACTGAGCTGTATGTCCAGCCCATGTGCTTCATTTCTTGTTATTTTTATGTATGTGCTGGGGTGGGAGCAGTAAATGCATATGTGTGGGAGCCAAAAGTCAGTGTCAAGTGTTTTTCTTGATCAGTCTCCACTTTATTTTAATTTTATCTTTATGGGTATTTTGCTTGTATGTTTGTATACCATATATATGCCTGGTGGCTAGAAAAAGGCATTTAGATCCTCTGGAGCTACAATGATGAGTGCCATATGAATACTGGAAATTGAACTGGTCCTCTGGAAGAGCAGTCAGTGCTCTTAACTACTGAACCATTTTTCCAGCCTCCATTTTACTTTTTGAGATAGTCTCTCACTGCACCTGAAACTCACTGATTGACTAGACTGGCCAGCCAGCAAACTACAGGTTCCTCTTGTTTCTGCCTCCCCAGTGTTGAAACAGCACAGTGCTGCTATGCCTGCTGTTCATGTGGGTACTGGAGATCCAAACTCAAGTCTTCTTGCTTGTCAGGCACATACTTTACCAACTGAGCCATCTCCCCAGCCTCCATTATTTCTTTTTGCTGTGGTATACCACATTTTATTTACCTGTTCATCAGTTGATGGGTATTTGGGGTTTTTTGGGTTTTTTTGCTCTTAAAAGGTTATGATTTTGACAGCTTTCCCAGCACTCTCTAATCCCAGAACACGGGAAGTAGAAGCACACAGATCTCTGTGAGTTCAAGGCCAACCTCATCTACAAAGCAAGTTCCAGGACAGCTAGAGCAGTTGCATAGAGAAATCCAGTCTTTACAAACAAGAAAGAAATGGAAGGAAGGAAGGAAGGAAGGAAGGAAGGAAGGAAGGAAGGAAGGAAGGAAGGAGAGAGAGAAAGCCGTCATAAAACCAGACAGTGGCACATGCCTGTTATCCCAGCAATGTCTATATGCAAGAGATTGAGGCAGGAACTTCACAAGTTTGAGGCCAGCTTGGGCTTTATAATAGGACTGTGTCTTTTGAGAGAGAGTGAAAAGGAAGGGTTGGAAAGAGACAGCTAGGAATATGTATTGCATGTGTGTGCAAGTGTTTGTAATAGTTTTTTTATTTGTTTGTTTCTCTGGGATATACCTGGGACAATGGTTGGGTCATGTGATAATGCTCTATTAGTCTTTTGTGGAGCTGCAGGCTGCTTTAAGAATTATATTTCCACCAGCAGTGTATGAGGTTCCTAGTCTATTCACATCATCCTAACCCTTGTTTTTATCTGTGTTGTTGGTCACACCCATCCATTTAGAAGCCATAGTGCATTGTGGCTCCACTTACATTTCCCTGTGGCTAATGTTTCCTGTGTTTATCTTTAAAGAGCTACCTATTCAGATCCCCTTTTGTGGGGAAGAGAGTTCAAGACAGGGTTTCTTTGTGGAGTCCTGACTGTTCTGGAACTCACTCTGTGGACCAAGCTGGCGTCGAACTCACAGAGATCTGCCTGCCTCTGCCTCCCGAGTGCTGAGATTAAAGGTTTGCGCCACCACCACCCTGCTATTGACTTTTTGTTTTATTTTGTTTTGTTGTTTTTTCTTTGGTTTGGTTTGGTTTGGTTTTTTTGTTTTGTTTTGTTTTTGTTTGTTTGTTTGTTTGTTTGTTTTGAGACAGGGTTTCTCTGTGTAACAGTCCTCACTGTTCTGGAACTTGCTTTAGAGACCAGGCTGGCCTCAAACTTAAAGAGATTGCCAACTTCTGCTTCCCAAGTACTATATATATATTTTTAAAGCATCCATCATTTTTTTTAAAGATTTATTTATTTATTATGTATACAACATTCCTTCCATGTATGCTTGCATGCCAGAAGAGGGCACCAGATCTCATAGATGGCTGTGAGCCGCCATGTGGTTGCTGGGAATTGAACTCAGGACCTCTGGAAGAACAGTCAGTGCTCTTAAACTCTGAGCCATCTCTCCAGCCCTCCCAAGTACTATATTAAAGGCATGTGCCATCACTGCCCTGCTCCATTTTTTTAATTGCTTATTTTTTTTTGAGTTGTATTTGCTAAACTTGTAAAGGAAAAAGCTATTTGCCTATCAATTTCATTTCTTTCACATATTACACAGCTGTATTTTAGACTAAGATTTGGAGACTTAAGGACTGTTACTTCTAGACTCTAGACCTAAAGTGAGCAAAACTTGAGCCTGTCATGTATATCAAGGGCTTCGTTAGCATAAACCCTAAGGAAGACTTTGAGATCATACCAGTGCCTGTCCTAGGATTTTGCTGGGTCTAGAAAGCACCAGCACAGGAAACTGTTGTCTGACTGCTGCTTTACTGTCCTTTTGTACCCTTTTAAGTACCCGTGTCTGAAAAGATGGTGATATAAGTAGACTAGTGAGCATGTTATTTCCTTTGTCTTCTATAACTATTCCCTTTTCTTCTTACTAGATTATAGATGTCATAGATAAAGAACTGGTTCAGCCTTTTGAGATTCTGTTTGAAGGAGTTGAATATATTGCCAGAGCTGGATGGACTCCAGAGGGAAAATAGTGCGTATGTTCAATTGTCACTTTCTTATAACGAATTTAGGATCCAGAGCTTTAGAATGTCTGTGGTGTAGGCTTTGTCTTCCCAAGTAAATTGACACTCCATTATTCCCACTCAGGCCTTTTCCATGAACTCCGTGAACATACAGATCTGCAGTCCCATAAGCATAAGTGTATTGTATTGTGATTATAGGAATAATTGTTGAATGTAGTGTCTCATGCCTTTAAATACTAGCTTTCAGCAAGCAGAGGCAGATAGATCTCAGTGAGTTCAAGGCCAGCCTGATCTCCATTGGTGAGTTCTAGGCCAGCCAAGGGACACATAGTGAAGCCCTGTCTTTAAAAAGAAAAATAAGCCAGGTGGTTGTGGCACAACACCTTCAATCCCAGCACTTGGGAGGCAGAAGCAGGTGGTTCTCTGAGTTCAAGGCCAGCCTGGTCCCCAGAGCGAGTTCCTGGACAGCCAAGGCTACACAGTGAACCCTGTCTAGAAAAACTAAAATAAATATATAAAATAAAATTGATAGGTACCAAGGGAGAGAACAGGTGGTTATTCATTTTCTGAAAGCTTGCTTCATTTCTTACTTCTTCTCATTCCTTTGAACAGTGCCTGGTCCATTCTACTAGATCGTTCCCAGACTCACCTACAGATAGTTCTGATCTCTCCGGAGTTATTCATCCCAGTAGAAGATGATGCCATGGACAGACAGAGACTCATAGAGTCAGTTCCTGACTCTGTGACACCACTGATCATCTATGAAGAAACAACAGATATTTGGATAAATGTATGCATTTTTCTTTCTTGAACTTGGCTGTATATTTTCTCAGGATACTTAGGCAGATGTCATTCTATAGCAAGCTAACAAAATACATCCTTAAATTCAAAGGAACCGTGGATATTTCACGTTGGAATGATGGTTCCAGAATGGAGTAGATAGCATTGAAGCGACAGCTCACTAGTAACTGCAGATGTGGTCCCGCATACCCCAGTAGAGAACCCACAGCCTCAGCTCCAGCCTCTACTTCTGATAGGACTTTCAAGAGTTGTGTCTAGAAACTGCCTTTTAAGTTAGCAAACTATACCAAATATGCTAGTTTTTAATTGAGTTATGCATTTTCCAATTTAGCATAAAAATTAGATATAAAATAAAAACATTTCTCTGTCTCTCTGTAGTTGAAAGTAGGCTTCCTGTAATTCACCCAAAACAGATGAACATCTGTTTTCCTTCAACTGTTAGAATACTTCTCTTTGGAAAACAAAAGTAAAGCATGTTTTTCCTCCTTCTTTGTGTATAAGATTTATACTGTTGCATAAGCTTTGTGTACTTCAGTTCCAGACTGGAGAGTAGCAGTCTTAGCCATATTGTTTTTTTACTTTCTTCCATTTGGAAATATTTACTTCTCAGTGTGTGAAATCATTGCCTAAAGTAAAATAAATGTAGGAGGCCCAGGCAAAGCCTACTATTGTCAGTGCTCCATATCCCAAGCACTAACCACTGTCTATATTTCAAGTCATTCTTCCTTCTCTCATTTGGTTACCTATGTGGTATATTTACCAATGCATATAATAAACTAAGCTGTTCATTTTGCAGATCCACGATATCTTTCATGTTTTTCCTCAAACTCATGAAGATGAAATAGAGTTTATTTTTGCCTCTGAATGCAAAACAGGTTTCCGTCACTTGTATAAAATCACATCCATTTTAAAGGAGAGCAAATATAAACGATCCAGTGGTGGACTGCCTGCCCCAAGTAAGAAGTCTTACTTAATTATGTATTCAATGTTTTATATTTTATTTGCTTTACATAATTTATCTCAAGGCACATGTGTACAGGTAGAGGATAGCTTGTGAGATTCTCTTCTGTCCTTCCACTGTGTGAGTTCCAAGGATCAAACTCAGGACATCAGACCTGATATCAGGGACCTTTACCCATTCTGCCTTTTTTTTTCTTTTCTTTTCTTTTTCTTTTTTTTAGTGGAGACATGGTCTCACTATGTAGTTCTGATTGGCCTAGAACTCATTATGCAAACCAAGCTATCCTCAGATTCACAGGGATCTGCCTGCCTTGCTAGAATTAAAAGCTTGTGCCACCACAGTAGGATTTGAAAACTTTACAAAATAAAGTTTGTATAGAGATAGCTCAGTGGTTAAGAACACTTGTTCCTCTTGCAGAGAACTCAGCTTTTGTTCCCAGTACCTACATGGCAGTCACAATCACCTGTAACTCCAGTTCCAGAGGATCCAATGCTTCCTTCTGTCTTCCAGGGACATCAGACATACATGTGGACACAGACATACAATAAAAATAAATAGATTAAATCTTAGGAGAAAAAACACTGTATAAACAAATGTGACATATACTACAGTGGAATATAGTCTTAAAAGATTTATTTATGTATATGAGTTCTCTATCAGTTTTATGCCAGAAGAAGATATCAGATCCCACTATTGATGGTTGTGAGCCACCATGTGGTTGCTGGGAATTGGATTCAGGCCCTCTGGAAGAGCAGCCAGTGCTCTTAACCACAGAACCATCGCTCCAGCCTTTCTTGATGGACACCTGGGTTGCTTCCATTCTTTTGGTGGAATGACACTACTATGACTATGTATGTTCCTCTATTGGCTTTTTCATTCTTTCCATTCCAGAAATGCAATGCTTGAGTCATATATTCTATTTAATTTTTCATCAACAAACCAGTGGTAAGGGCTACACTTTTTTTATATTCCTAATAGCAATATGCAAGGGTTTTCATTTCTCTCTGTTTTTGTTTGTTTGTTTGTATTTGGGGGATAGGTTTATTTATTTTATTTCTATATGTATGAATTTTTGCCTGCATGTATGCCTGTGCACCACATGCATGCCTGGTGCCTGTAGAAGTCAGAAGAGGGGGTTAGATATCCTAGAACTGGAGTTAATAGATGCTTGAGAGCCACCATATAGGTTCTGGGAACCAAACCCAGGTCCTCTGCAAGAACAAGTGTTCTTAACTGCTGAGGTGTCTCTCTAGCCCCTGGATTATTTTTTTGTTTTTGTTTTTTTAAAGACAGAGTTTCTGTAGTTCAGGCTTCCTTCCAATTCTCCACAATCCTGTCTCAGTTCCCATGTGCTGAGATTACAGGTGTGTACCACTACACCCAGCTTCAAGTTTTAGCTCTTTATATCCTTGACAGTACTTGTTATTTTCTGTTTTCTTGCTTTTATAAGTTTATGTTTTATTGTTCCTATTTATTTATTTATTATTTGTCTTGGTTTTCTGAAGACAGGGTCTTCATATGTAGCTTTGGCTGTCCTAGAACTCACTATGTAGACCAGGCTTGCCTTTCACTCACTGAGATCTGCTTGTCTCTGCCTTACAAGTGCTGGGATTAAGGGTGTGTGTCACTATGCCCAGCTGTGGGTTTTTTTTTAATAGCCACCCTAATAGATGTAAAGTTGCATCTTCTATTTGTGTTCTTTTTTTTTTCTCAAACTCATATATACCATATTAGAGATTGAACCTAAGACTTTGTCACTGAGTTCCATCCCTAGCTCTTTTGAGTTTTTATTTTAAAATGTGATGATATAGCTGAGTAGCTGACATCACACACGTGCCACCAAGCCCCACCTGAAGAGGCATCCCATTGTGTTTTGACACAGATTTTTCTAATGATGAGGAGTATTAAGTACTTTCCATATTCATATTGGCCATTTGTATATCTTGTTGAGAGAAATACCTATTCAAGTCCTTTGGATTCTTCAGTTTTTCTGAAAGGCTTTTTAATTAGTGGGATTTGGAGAGCAGTGAGCTACATCTTGAAATCAGCCAAGTAAACACTAATTATGACTGTGCACTTTTCTTTAAAGATAGAAGTCTTATAAAACAGAATTTCTTTCCATGAGCTTCAGCTTAGCTTAGCCCTGAACTTAAAACTGTCTTACTAGTTTCTTTGTTGCTCAGGAGTAAATTCACTCATAGATGAAGAAAGAACAAAGAACTAAAATCATACTCTGAAACAATAAGGTATCTTTTTTGTTTGTTTATTTGTTTTTTGTTGTTGTTGTTGTTTTGTTTTGTTTTTCGAGACAGGGTTTCTCTGTAGCTTTCCTGTCCTAGAACTAGCTCTTGTAGACCAGGCTGGCCTCAAACTCACAGAAATCCACCTATCTGTGTCTCCCTAGTGCTGGGATTAAAGACGTGCACCATCACCTCCCGGCAACAATAAGATCTCTTAAATCTCTCCATTAACAGCCTCAGAAGGAGGGCTCTGTCCTATCAGCACCTGTTTGCTGATGCTGCTTGGCCCTATTTTTTTCTTTTTCTTTCTTTCTTTCTTCTTTTTTTTTTTTTTTGTTTTTTGTTTTTGTTTAATTGCTCCATCTCAGGGTTTTTTGTTTTGTTTTCTTTTGTTTTTGTTTTACTTTGTAATTATGTTTGTTTTTTTCTTTCTCCTTATCCTCCCCTTCATAGCTCTAATGTGAAACTCTTTTTGTTTGTTTGTTTGGTTTGTTTTATTTGCTTTCTTTTTCAAGATGAGGTTTCTCTATGTAGCCCTAACTGTCCTTGAACTCACTGTAGACCAGGCTGGCTTCAAACTCACAGAGATCCACCTGCCTCTGCCTCCCGAGTGCTGGGATTAAAGGCGTGCACCACCAAGCCTAGCTAGATATTTTATCTGTAATTTTTAGTAACCATTTGAAATAACTCAATACCATTTAATACAATATTATCAACTCTTGTCTTTAACTAGTTCCAAACACTTACATTACCTCAAACCTAACATTGATGTTTTTACTTTTGTTTTATTGCAGCTTTTTGGAAAAGACAGTTTAGAAAACTTTTCTACGTTGTTTCATTTGCTTATGATTTGGAATAAAGTACTGAATTTTGGTTGTATTTATCTTCAGGTGATTTCAAGTGTCCTATCAAAGAAGAAATAGCAATTACCAGTGGTGAATGGGAAGTTCTTGGCCGGCATGGATCTAATGTATGTTTCTTTATTCTACTGATATGTTTGGTTAGCCTCTGCCTTATGCATACACTGCAGAAAAAAATGAATAATACAGTATATATGTATGTATGTATGTATGTATGACTCCAGTGTTTTACAATATTAAGTTAGGGCCTAGAAGAATACAGGTTGTTACGAAGGAAAAATCTTAGTTCAATCAGAATGTAGTGATACATACCTTAACTTCCAGCACTTGGGAGACAGAGGCAGGTTGAGGCCAGCCTGGTCTACCTAGCAAGTTTCAGGCCACTCAGGGCTATATCATAAGACCCTGTCTTTTAAAAAAAAAAAATTAAAATAAATTTTTAAAAAAATCTTATTTTAAATCATAACATTCACCTATTTTATGACTTTAAAATAAGATGCATTCCAGTTACAAAAGATTGCCATTTTCTAGGCCGGGTAGTGGTGGCGCACACCTTTAATACCTGCACTTGGGAGGCAGAAGCAGGTGGATCGGGGCCAGCCTGGTCTACAAGAGCTAGTTGCGGGACAGCCTCAAAAGCTACGGAGAAACCCTGTCTCCAAAAACCCAAAAAAAAAAAAAAAAAAAAAAAAAAGACTGCCATTTTCAATTATCATATTATTTTTGTGTATTGTGTATTTTGTCTGCATGTATGTCTGTGCACTATATGCATGCCTGGTGCCTGTGGAAGCCAGAAAACGGTGTCAGATCCTCTACAGCTAGCATTGTAGACAGTTGTGAGCTCCAGATGGCTGTTTTGAACTGAAACCAGGTCTTATGGAAGAACAGCCAGTACCCTTAACCTTTGTTCCAGCCCAAAATCACCATTTTTAAATATCTTACTGCCATTTAGTAAGGAAGCAATTTGTTGGTTTAGGACTTTCAAAAGTTGTGAGTTAGCAGATAAGCTGAAATTTATTTTTTAGGCATGATAGACTGTTGATGTTTTTACATCGGAAATTATATTTAGCATTCTTTTTTTAAAGACTTATTTATTAATTATGTATACAGGGTTCTTCCTCCATGTATGCCTTCTCTCATTACTGATGGTTGTGAGCCACCATGTGGTTGCTGGGAATTGAACTCAGGACCTCTGGAAGAACAGTCAGTGCTCTTAACCTCTGAGCCATCTCTCCAGCCCATTAGCATTCTTGAGGTAGAAATTTTCTTTCATTCACCTGTTTTTATCTTATCTCACAGATTTAAGTTTTTTGAGCTTAGGTTAACAGGGAAGAGTATGCAGCTCTGAACACGTGGCTTTTCGTCAATACTATGAACTGGACTGGACCTAATATGCTGGGCGAGTGCTCTAATATTAAGCCATAACCCAGCTACTTTTCTATTTTATTTTGTGACTGGCTCTTTCTTGCTAAGCTGTCTAGGTTGGCCTTCAGCTTCACTCTGTAGCAGACAGGCCTTTCACTAGTGCCTTTCCTTTGTTTGCATTTGGTTTGATCTGACCTCTAGACATCCCCCTCCCCATCTCTGGCTCAGACAGTTCAGTGGCTGTAGGTACCAGGATTTACTGGTGGCCTGAGTGTGATTTCATCAAATTTATGAATTTATTACATGTTCTCACATCTTTCGAAATCGTGATGGTCTCTGCGGTGATTTAAAAAATGAAATAGAGGGACTGGAGAGATGGCTCAGGGGTTAAGAGCACTGGCTATTCTTCCAAAGGATCCGGGTTCAATTCCCAGCACCCACATGGCAGCTCACAACTGTCTGTAACTCCAGCTCCAGAGGACCTGAGGTCACCTTCACACACATAAGCAGGCAGTACACCAATGTATATAAAAATAAATAAATCTTTTTTTAAAAAGAGAAATGAAATGAAGTACAGAACAAGGAGCTGAGGAGATGCTCAGTCTGGGAAGTGGCTGCTGTATAAGCACAGGACCTAAGCTTGGCCCTCCCTTACCACCTCTAACTGCATGACATACACAGAGAGCATACATGCCTTACACTTGTGAACACACCTGTACATATGTGAGCACTCACATGGACACATGCATACTTCACAAACAACACATACAAGAAGATTCTGGTCCCACTTTTTTTTTTTTTTTTTTTTTTTGAAAATCCTTAGACTAGTGTGGATAAGACACTCCCACCATGACATGCTACCTCAGCACAGGCCCGAGTACCTACATCTTGGATCTCTAAAACTACACATTAAAATAAAGTCTTGCTGTAGGTGACCTTGTAAGTCTGAGCTCACTAGGGCCTTAAATAGCCATCTGGTTATATATCCAAATACTGTTTGATCTGTTTGTTTGTTTTACCTGTGGCTGGGCCTGAGGTACTCCTGCTAAGTACCTGAGGAAAGAAATCTCATTGTGGAATTCTAGGTTCTAATAACAAAAATCACATTCAGGGTAAGTTTCCTTAGCCATTGAGATGTCTCAGCAGGTAAAGTGGCTTGCCACCACCAAGTCTTACAGCCCGAGTTGCATTTTTAGAACCCACACAGTAGGAGAGATTTGGCTTCCTCGTGTGGTTCTCTATTTGCCACATGCATGTTGTGGCACACTTACACAGATACTGGTCTACATAGACACAAAACAAAACAGATTTTTTGTAATTCCTTGAATTGTAGTTGTTGGAGTTAAGAGCTACTAGATACTGGCATAAATCCCAAAATCACGTAAGCAGAAGGTCCTTATTTAGGCAACCTAAATGATTCTCCTGTTAGCCCCTGTGGGCATTAGTTTTTTGATTCATGCTAATTTTTGTGGTATGTTTGTTTCTCTCAAATTCTTCCTCTATTTTTCTGTATCTTTGCTTTGTTTTTTTGTATTTGTGTTGCCTTTGTCACCTCAGCTTTTACAAGTCACTGCTGCACTCAGACTTCACGGCAACAGCTGAGTAAATCTTTCAGGCTTGAGCTCATGGAACTCTTACTGTTTAGGGTCTCACTCAGTGTGCTTCCAGATCAAGGATGGAACAAGCCAATTGCTTAGGACTGTGCCAGCAATTCAGGTTCAGCTAGACCCAGTCCTCCTCAGAAACTGGTGGTAGGACCCAGCAATCTGTTCAGCATCCCTGGAGACTCTAATCCTATTGAATATAAATACTTACATGACACAAAGGAAAGAGGCTTACAGATGGGGGTGAAGACAGTGTAGAAATGCCTGAGTCCCCACTGCTTCTGCGGGAAAACCAGCTGGCTTTCTGGAGAGATAGCACATACCCATGGGGATTCTTGAAGGTTTGTTTCTCAGAGCAATTGTGTTCAATTAGGAATGGATGAATCTACTGTAAAAAGTTAACAGTGAAAGGTGTGTGAGTGTGTGTGTGTGTATGTGTGTGTGAGAGAGAGAGAGAAAGAGAGGAAGAGAGAGAGAGAGATTTATAATACTTTTAGAATCTTTTATCTCTGTAAAACATTCTGAATTCTAGTAAATTTTCAGTAAGCTAGTAAATTATTTTTAAAGTAGCAATGAAAGAAAACAATTTATTTAGATTAGTGTAATAAGTAAATTCAGTTCTAGATAGTAAGATCTTATCTAAGGCTGGGGACACTGGACCGTATCCAGTATCGATGCTTAAAATAAATCTTATCCTTGCTTATTTATAAACTATACTGTTGCTGAAGTTGGTTGGTTCCAGTTATTTTTCAATCTGATAGATAAAAATGCTTTTGTAAATTTGTACAGAAGATCTAAAAAAAGTACTGGCTGCAGGAGAGAAATAAAGATAATCTCTTCCAAGTAATAAAATGAGGTGCGATGTAGGATCTTTTTCCCTGAGGAATTACTATAAGAAAATAATTCTCTTACTTTAAGGGAAGTACACATTGCAGTCTGATCAGGACACTATCCCAATCGTTTGTAATTCGGCCTTTTAACTTTTGGACAAGATCAACTTTTAGCCATAAGCAAAATCAATCTAATTATTATCAGTAGCAAAATAAAGACCAAAGAAGCCCAAGTCAGATGAGTCAAGTGATTCTGTATGTGGGGAGCTGTCTGCGTGTTGCTGTCCTTGTCAGCACTGCACTAGTACTGATTTGTGCTGTGATTTGGCAGATCTGGGTTGATGAAGTCAGAAAGCTGGTGTACTTTGAAGGCACCAAAGACTCTCCTTTGGAACATCACCTGTATGTGACCAGTTATGCAAACCCTGGCGAAGTGGTGAGGCTGACTGATCGAGGATACTCACATTCCTGCTGCCTCAGTCAGGTACTGTGTCCCAGTTGGGAGGGATCCTGTCATAGAAAAACCCTGTGTTCATACAAATTCCCTTTGAGTAATGTGAAAATTGGTGATATTGGCCCACAGAAGCCTTGTTTAGGAAAAGCACTGTGTGTTTGTGTTGTGTTATGTTTTACTCTTTTGGGGGGCTTACCACCCAGCTCCCAAGTAAATCACATACAGAGACTTTATTCTCATTAATGCTTGGCCTTAGCTCAACTTGTTTCTTGCCAGCTTTTCTTAAATTATCCTGACCACCTTTTGCCTCTGGTCTTTTTCCTTTTCTTACTTCTGTATGTCTTACTTTCACTCTTATTCTGTTGCTGGCTAGGTGACTGCCCCTGACCTCCTCCTCCTCATTGCTTGGCCTCTTCCTCATTTCTTCTTCTATTTATACTCTATGCCTGCTAGTCCCACCTGTCCTTGCTCCTGCCTCGCAATTGGCCAGCCATTCAGCTCTTTATTAGGACCATCAGATGCTTTAGACAGGCATAGAATCAGAGCTTCACAGAGTTAAACAAATGCAGCATAGACAAAAGTCACACACGTTAAAATAATATTCCCCAACATGTTTGACTCAGTTGTCAAACTCCCATTGCCGTAGCGCTGGTGTGTATGATCATGGTAGCCTTCCTTACCTTTCCCATGGAAAGCTGTTGTTGTCTCTCTTTTCTCTAGCATTGTGACTTCTTTATAAGTAAGTACAGCAACCAGAAGAACCCGCACTGCGTGTCCCTCTACAAACTCTCAAGTCCTGAAGATGACCCAGTTCGTAAAACAAAGGAATTTTGGGCCACCATTTTGGATTCAGCAGGTACCCCTTACCCCTGAACCTAGGCTTAACTAAGATTGGTACCAGAGTGCACTATGCTGGGGTCTTGTGTCAATGTCTCTTGGGCTGTCTTCCAATTGCTCAGCCCTACCTATCCCTGAGCTGCTGAGCTTCAGATGAACCTCATTTCCCGTTCTGTAAATTGCTGAATGAGCTGGGTTTCCTCTTCTCTAAGCAGGAACATGTCTAGAAAACGTTTTTAAAAAGCAGATTGAGATAATGTGTTCTGAACTTAGTAAGACCCTTTGAGCAGCGAGGTTGACCCTTTAGGGAATAACCAGTTGGTTGCTTTCTATAAGTTCTGAAGTCTTTGCAGTAGCCATCCTAGTAGTGGCCAGCACACTTGCTCACTGTGTGAGCAAAGAGGACTGCTGTCCCAGGCTCTCATTCTGTAGCCCAGGGTTGACCTTACTATGGAACCCAAACTAGCCTTGAACTCAACAATCTCCTGCCTTGGCCTCTCAAATGCTAGTATTTCAGGCATGAGCTACCATTTGATCTATTTTTCAAACTCTTGCTTTCTGTATTAATTACTTTGTAAATTGCTCTGACAAAATCCCTGACAAAAGCAATTTATGCCAAAGGTTCCTTATCTCAGTACTCGGAAGGCAGGAGCTGATCTCTGTGAGTTCAAGGTCAACCTGGTCTACAGACTGAGTTCCAGGACACAGAGAAACCATGTCTTGGAAAACCAAAGAAAAGGTTTGTTTTGTCTCACAATATAAAGTACAGCCTAAAATGAATTGGTGGCAGGAGCTCAAGTAGACTGTCACATTGTGTCCAGTCAGAAAGGAAAGAGAGAGGGTCTGCTGCTCAACTCCCTTTCTCCTTTTCACTGTTAGGGACCCCAGTCTAAAAATACCACCCACATTTAGAGTGGGTCTTCCTCAACTAACCTAATCTAGAAACCCCTCACAGACACGCCCAGGGGTTCAGTTTTTCAGCTGACAAGATCACCTATCACCATCTTTTTGAAAATTTTATTTATGTGAGTTTTGTGTGTGTGCGTGTATGCGCACATGTGCGTGTGCATGCCACATATATGTCACAGAGACTAGAAGAGGGCTTTGGATCCCTTGCAGCTGGAGTTACAAGCAATTGTGGTACCTGGTGTGGATGCTGAGAACTAAACTTGAGTCCTCTTAAAGAGCAGCAAGTGCTTTTATCCGTTAAATCCCCTTTCTAGCCCCTACAATTTCTCTCTTCCTTCTTCCTTTCCTTCCTTCTTTTCTTCTTTCCTTCCTTCCTTCCTTCCTTTTATTTTATAGTTTATTTACTTCTGTTCATTTGCATTGATATTTTGCCTGCATGTATGTCAATGTGAGGTTGTCAGATCTTGGAGTTAGGGACAGCTATGAGCTGCCATGTGGTTGTTGGGAATTGAACCCAAGTCCTCTGGAAGAGCAGTTAGTGCTTTTAACTGCCGAGCCATCTCTCCAGCCCCTGCCCTTCAATTTCTTAAATGTAAAGAATAAACTTTTTAAAGTGTCTTTTAACTCACTTTATCTTCAAATCTACTTCCATGTTAAATGTTTTCACTCCTTACACTTGACTAAGAGATCAAGGCATTAATTTGGGTTTGGGGAGATGGCTTAGTGGATAAGAGTGCTTGTTGTTCTACTGTGAAGTCCTAAGTTCAGATCATGAGCACCCACATAAAAGCAGAATTGTGAGCCTGTAACTCAGCACTGGAGAGGACAGAGGTGGTTCCCAGGGTCTTGATGTTCAGTCAGCCTTGCAGAAGTGCAAGCTTCTGATGCAGGGAGTGTTTCGAGGCCATAAGGTAGAGGGAGGACACTGATGTCTTTCTTTTGCTGTCACGTAAGTGTGCACAGGCATAGATAGGATCCTGAACACTTGCACCGTCACCATGCACACATCATATTGCGGCACACACACAAATAATAATAATAATAAGCTGGATGTGGTAGTCCACCCCTTTTATCTTAATCTTAGCACCCAGGAGACCAAGGCAGGTGGATCTCTGAGGTCAAGGCCAACCTGATCTACAACTCAAGTTCCAGGACAGCCAGGGCTATATAGAGATACCCTATCTCAAAGATAGATAGGCAGACAGACAGACAGATAGATAGATAAATTTTTTTAAAAATTTAAACTATTGTAGACCAAAGCATTTGTGCATATTTTAATGTCGGGGAGCACAATTGCCAATATGGTAATAACCTCTGATGGGGACTTCACTGTGCACAGGCATTGAGGGGAGGTGGTGGCACACGCCTTTAATCCCAGCATTTGGCAGGAAGAGGCAGGCAGATCTCTGTGAGTTCGAGGCCAGCCAGGGCTACACAGAGAAACCCTGTCTTGAAAAACCAAAAAGAAAAAAAGGAAACAAGTGTGTGTTGAGCACCTGCTATAAGCAGACTAAATTGACTAAGTTAAAAATAGGGTTTTTGTTCCCTACCCACAACTTTTTGAAAAGTTGCTGATCAGGTAGGTGTGTGCTTTAACCACCAATAAGTGAAGACTGAATTTAGCACTGGATATTTGTTTAGTTCTGCATATAAACACCTGCTAGGTTCCAAAGGTTACTCAAAATTCAGTGTGTATGAATCTGAAAAAGACAATGGATGTTCGTTCATTTTGTTTTAAAAATACCTGTTTATTGCTTAGATAAGCAATAAACTGATAAGCTGAGAGAGGGATAGTAGTTATTGGGAGGAGAGTTGAGTTTAGATACTTGCTTCTTTGACTTCAGCTTGCAGGTGCCTCTGAGAACTTCTTTACAGGCTCTGTTGCTACCCACAGGTCCTCTTCCTGACTACACCCCTCCAGAAATTTTTTCTTTTGAAAGTACTACTGGATTTACACTGTATGGGATGTTGTATAAGCCTCATGACCTACAACCTGGGAAGAAATACCCCACTGTGCTCTTCATATATGGTGGTCCTCAGGTGAGTATAGAAACTCGTGTGCGTGTGTGTGTGTGTGTGTGTGTGTGTGTGTGTGTATTTTAGGTGATTTTTATTTTATATTTATGAATATTTTTATCTACATGTATGTCTGTGCACCGTGTGCATGCCTAATGCCTGCAACGTTTACAAGAGAGTGTCAAATCTCTGGTAACTTATATTTGTATTCATTCATTCCCAAAATAGTAGCTAGCAATAGGTCCTATCTTATACACTTTGAGAAGAAAATAGACCTGTTAAGCCTTCTTCCCAGGCAGAAGGAACAATGAACAAGGTCGTGGAGGAAGAACCCCTTGATATTGTTGTTGTAGGAGGGACTTAACTCACAGTGGGAGGAGAGAGGTAGACTCAGGTCTGACACAGCAAGATTTTTACTCACTGAGCCATTTCTTTATCCCCATTTTCTTTCTTTCTTCCTTCCTTCCTTCCTTCCTTCCTTCCTTCCTTCCTTTCTTTTTTCTATTTTTTTGAGATAGGGTCTCAATGTGTGACTCTGGCTGGCCTGGAACTTGATCTCAATGTGTAGCACTGGCTGGCCCAGAACTTGATTTATAGACCTGGATAGATGGCCTTGAACTCACAGAGATCTGCCTGCCTCTATCTTCCAAGTGCTGGGATTAAATGCATACACCACCACTACCTGTCCCTAAACTCTTTTCATTATCTTTAGCAGGAGGACTTGTCAAACAGTGATTAAAATATAATATAAACTGGGCCTGGTGGTGCATACCTGTAATCCCAGCCTTGGGGGAGATGGGGGCGGAAGCAGGAGGATTGAAAGTTCCAAAACCTGACTCACCTACTAAGTGAATTCAAGCCCAGCCATTGCAACTTAGTGATACTCTCTCTTAAAAAGTAAAAAGGGACCTGGGGATGCAGATCAGTGGTAATTGCCTATCATGTGCAGGGCTCTAGGTTCAGCCCCTACATTTGCCAAATGCGTAAACAAACACATAGACCAGTAACTTAGTCTATCAGCCATTGTCCGGTGCATGTGCTCTCTTTCATAACTCTAGCAGTGCAGTAGTTGTTTATATAGCATTACCCCAAACACAGAAGTAATGTACCATGTCATGCCAGCTGTGCTGGCATTAGGTGACAGGAGCGTCTTGGCTCCGTCACGATCCCATGGGACTGCCATTTCATGAGTGCCCTGAGCTGATTGAAACATGAACATACTGCGTGTGTTTGAATTGTCTTTTCATTAGATAAAACTCCATTTCTAATAAAACACCAAGATGCATTTATGTTCTTGGTCAGTTTGAAGTGTAGTCTCTAGGGTAATAAAGTAATTTAAAAATTTAATTATGATACTTTCACACTAATTTGTCTAACAGGAAAAAGATAACTGTGCTGATCGCAGTGTTTATTAAAGGCTACATTTTGTCAGGCGGTGGTGATGCACGCCTTTAATCCCAGCGCTGGAGAGGCAGAGACAGGTGGATCTCTATGAGTTCAAGGCCAGCTTGGTCAGCAGAGCTAGTTCCAGGACATCCAAAGCTGTTACACAGAGAAACCCTGTCTCAAATAAATAAATAAATAAACAAATAAATAAATAAGCTACATTTTTCCCACTGTCACTCAGCAGCAGCTCTAGAAGAGACAAGCAGGGAGGGAAGATGTTCTTAATTGTCTTTTTCACTGTTACTTGAATGCCATAACTCTTCAGAGTATATAATTCAGCAACTTTCTCCTTGGGATAGAGTAACTCTCTTACCTTACTTAAAACTTAAGTATCTGCGCTAGAGTGAAGTCTAGTATATTTGCTGTGAAGGGTTGAGAGTGAAACTAAGCGTGGACCAGCATAAACATACAAAGACTTGAGTAAATTTCAAAATGTATCACTTGACACTTACATTTTAAAGGCAAGTAAGTGCATTCAGCTTTCTGACTTCTGCAGTATCTTTCTGTCTCATGGTTTATATGCTCTTGCATAAGATCTCTGAAGCTTTTTCTTTTCCAGGTGCAGCTGGTGAACAATCGATTTAAAGGAGTCAAGTATTTCCGCCTGAACACCCTGGCCTCCCTAGGTTATGTGGTTGTGGTGATAGACAACAGAGGATCCTGTCACCGAGGGCTTAAATTTGAAGGCGCCTTTAAATATAAAATGGTGTGTGAACATAGAACACTTTTTTTCCCACATGCTTTCATTTTCTTATACTTTATTCGAGTTGGGGGAGGACCTGAGTGACAGAGTGAGGAAGAATGTGTTAGAATTGAGCAGTGGGATGAAAGGTTCACCTTACAGTAGGCTCACTCCTGTCTACCTGTCTGCCTCCCAGGAGCTGAGGTAGAGCCACTTCTGTTAGAATGCCCTGTGAAGTCTGTACTTTGGCCTTGGCCATAGGCAGTCCCATATTCTCCTCAGGAATACCTGAGGTTTGTTCTGTCCTCTGTGAAGAGGGAAACAACTGGGTAGTTTCCTCCTTGTGACAAGCCTCTTTCTCTCTGCAGGAAGCTTTAAATGCTACCTTTTAGAGATGCCCCAGGTCCTTTCTGCTGCTTTGGGAAATGATGACAGTCCGATGTTCCTTTTGCACAGTAAGGCAGTCCCTGTGGCTGCCAGTGTGTTGGACATGCTGAGTAAGACATGGGATGCTCTCCCACAGCCAGTTCTTTGACCTTATGTTGTATTCTCATGTAAGTTTTTGTTGTTGATTTACTTTTTGGTTTGGCTCAGTGAGGTGAGACTGTGTGCTCTGGCAGGCCAAGAGACACCTTGAGTGGTACTGATAGGAATTAGGACATCCAGAGCTTTGCTAGAAGTTTTGTGCTGGGAGAAAGGAAGGTCAGGCTTCAGGGGTAATGCCCTTTGCTTTACTTCACTAAGTGATAAAAGGAGAAGTAAATTTCATCAATCTCTTAAAGGGGCTGAATTTTTGTCTTTGGATAGAGGAAGGCTTGTTACAAGGAAGTTGCTGGCCTCTTAGCAGACAACAGAACAAATGGAGTAGGAGACACCCTGAAGCTAGGGACAGCATGGACAGTGACAGGAAAGAACTCCATGACCGTGGAAACTAAACTCTTCACAGGGCAGCAGGTTCTTAACTATAAGATGCTTTTTTTTTAAAATTTCTTGAGGGAAAATAGAATATCAGTTGTTAATAAACTCTAATCTGAGAAAAGAAACCCTCCAGGAGTTTTTAGTAAAAACATGGAGCAGCTTTAAAGAGTTCTCTAAGCCTAGGGTGCATCAGAACCAGTGAGCTATTTTCCCGTGTTTGACAGGGTCAAATAGAAATTGATGATCAAGTGGAAGGACTCCAGTACCTAGCGTCTCAGTATGACTTCATTGACTTGGATCGTGTGGGCATCCACGGCTGGTCCTATGGAGGCTACCTCTCCTTGATGGCACTGATGCAGAGATCAGATATCTTCAGGGTATGTAGCTACTATTGTATTTGTTTTTGTAATTGACCAGAATTCTCTGTTAATTGAAGGCACATGAAAATGATTTTTTTGAAGGGTCAGGTGTTGTTGGTATTGTAGAATGTTGGGTTTATGTGTTTTACAACATGGGAAATGTATCTTTAGTGTTAACACGGATTTAAAACACTCATCAGCTTGATCACCAGTTTATAACTACTTATATATGCCAAAGATTGATAGTTATGCTTAGTAAAAGACACATATACTTTCTGGATTCCAGTTAACTTGTTTAATTACTAAACTACATCTTTGCCCTCTACCCTGGTATGTTCTCAACAGCTAGCACTGCTTAGCACAAGTAAATCCTCAATAGATCTGTGTCCAGTACAGGGCCCTGGCTGGATCTCCAGCTCTTAAAAAAAAAGAATGTTGACTGAACTGAATTTCATTTATTTGACAGTGAGGTTTGTACCTAGGGCCTCTTGCATGCTGAAGCACATGCTCTACCACCAAGCTACAGACCCAGCTCACTGAGTGAACTGAATCTTTACATGCTTATAATTCTTGAAATTCTTAGAACTTATATTATTATAAAATTATACATTATAAAGAAAATATATAAAGATGCTAGTTACTAAGAAAATAGGGATGAATGGATAAATGAGATGTCTCTGCAGGTAAACCTGCTACTAAGTCTGACAACCTGAGTTTGATCCCCAGGACTCAAGAAGTGGAAAGAGAGAACCTCCTAAAAGTTGTCCTCTGACCTCTACAGCCATGACATGCCTCATGTACACCCACACAAATTTACACATACTTGTGCACATACAAATAAATAAAGATATAGTTTATTTAATGTTAAAAAAAGAAAGAAAGGGTCTAGTGAGATGGCGCAGCAGGTAAACTACCTGTACCAAGCCTAATGAACTGTTCAGTGCCCCAACACAGTGGAAGAACAAACTCTGACTTCATATGCATGACCACACACTCAGACAACTAAATAGTGTAAGCAAGTGTAAACAAGATAAAAGGTAATGAAAATTTGAATTAGGAGCAGTACGGTTTTTTTTCCCTATTGTCAAGGCAGGGTTTCTCTGTGTAACAGCCCTGGTTGTCTTGGAACTCACTTTGTAAACCAGGCTGGCCTTGAACTCACAGAGATCCACCTGCTTCTGCTTTTGCTTCTGCCTCACCAGTGCTGGGACTAATGGTGTACACCATGCCCTGCTTAAGAGTAGTAATTTTTTTGTTTTGTTTGTTTGTTTTTCAAGACAAAGTTTCTCTGTGTAATAGCCCTGGCTGTCCTAGAACTAACTCTTGTAGACCAGGCTGGCCTCGAACTCACAGAGATCCGCCTGCCTCTGAAGTGCTGGGATTAAAGGCGTGCGCCACTACTGCCCGACTAAGAGTAGTAATTTTTATATCAGTAATTAATATGATTTTATTTTACAAAGAACAATTTTTTTAATCATTTGTTTTGGGGGTTTGTGTGTGCTCTCAAGCTGGCTTTTCTGGTGTGGTTGAAGATGGTCTTGAACTTCTGATCCTCCTGTCTCTGCCTTCTGTGTGCTGGGCTTATAGGTGTGCAGAACTGTGCCCTGTTTATGAGAAGTAATCTTTAGAAACAAAATAGTGAGGCATGGTAGCGTACACCTGTAGTCCTAGGACCTGGGACAGACAGATAGAAGGATTGCCAGCTTGGCGCCAGCCTGGGATACATAATGAAACACCATCTTTTAAAAAAAGAAATTTAATTAGAATATCTAAATATAAAACTATATAGGAGCCTTAAACGAGGCAAGTTTTACTTAAGTGTAGTCCAATTGTTTTAAACGCTAAATTAAAAAAAATAAGAAGAAGAAAAGAAAAAAAAGCTCAAAGAAAGGGGAAAAACATGAAACAGTAGGTGCTTTTTTTTTAATGAAGTTGGCAGTTGTCACACCTATTTCCAGTGGGGGATAGTTTTCACGGAGGTCCTCATACTTTCGCTCAGTGTCTGCTTTGAATAGAGACTCAGTTTGTATTTCAGCTGTCCCAGATTTAGGGGTTGGTACCGGTTGTGCCTGTGGCACATGAAGCTTACTGACTCACAGAGTATCAGATTTGTGACCTTGGCACTTGATTTCAGGTTTCTGCATGTCCTGAAATGTGTGTCCAGTTTAGTTGGGACTAAAGCCTTGCAAAGATAATTTTAGCTTATACATTTGCCATTGTAAGTTCTGTCTGCTAGCGCTCTTTCTCTGGGACACAGCTGACTGTCTGTGTTGTCATATGCAGGTTGCTATTGCTGGGGCCCCAGTCACTCTGTGGATCTTCTATGATACAGGATATACGGAACGTTATATGGGTCACCCTGACCAGAATGAACAGGGCTATTACTTAGGATCTGTGGCCATGCAAGCAGAGAAGTTCCCCTCAGAGTAAGTTCATGCTTTAAAATGAAGGTTGTCGATTTTAAATGGTGTTTTAAAAGCTTTAAGAGTGATGATAAAAACTAAATACTGAAAATTAAACTAAGACTAATATTTTATAAATACTAAAAAGTTCCTTTTTCCGCCTCCTCAGTACTGGGGATTGAGCCCAAACCATTTGTAGACAAATGTTCTATCACTAACTGATAAACTGCTCGAGTGGGATGGATGTCACTCAGAACCAGATTAAAAGCTATTTCAGATACTGTATTGGGAGAAGAATTTTTATGTATTTAGGGGTTTTGTTTTTTTTTTTTTTTTTTTTTTTTTTGGTTTTTCAAGACAGGGTTGCTCTATAGCTTTGGAGCCTGTCCTGAAACTAGTTCTTATAGACCAAACTGGCCTCGAACTCACAGAGATCTGTCTGCCTCTGCCTCCCTAGTGCTGGGGTTAAAGGCGTGCACCACCATCACCCGGCTGTATTTAGGGTTATTTATTTATCTTTATAAATAGTATTTGAAGCAGTTACACTGAAGGAAATTAAGTTTGTAATTGTGTCAAAGTGGAAGGAAGTCTGTGTCAGCAACAGGGTCTTCACACAGGTGTTCTAGGAACATGCAGTAAATATTCATAAGAAGCTGAAGATGCTTTTCATTACATGTGGCATCTGATTGCTGTAATACAGAGTTAATGTTGAAAACAATGAGTCCTCAACCTGATTGCTGCGGGAGTGCCTTCCGCTCCTCTAGCCAATAGCCACCAAGCTTCTAGCCCACAACAACTGGAAGTAATTCTAGAGGACGACGTCCCCTCTCCCAGCAAAGTTTGTCCTCGGGTTTAGGGACAGTATTTAGGGATTGATTATAATTAGTATACGGTTGAGGGTTGGGGGAGGAATTTTATAAGCTCAGAGATCTTTTTGGGGAAAAAAAAGGGAAAATTGGAATGATGGGATAATGGGATAATAGATTGGTATTTGTGAGTTATTGTTTATAGATAATTACATTGGCATAGATTTTTGTATATGGATACAAAGTTAAATTATATTGAATATTGTATGCATGCAATATTTAAACATTTTTTAATGTTTAAAACATTTTTTATGTATTCATATATATATATTGTATTGATATATATATCTACCATATTGTAGTGTACATTTATACCTCTGATTAAGATACTTATATGTTGTTTATGTATTGATATACATTTTTTACATTTGAAGGTCATTGTCCTCATTTATTGCACAGTTGTTTATTCTCTTAGTTTTTAAGTTAGATAGGTATTAAGAATTGTAGATCAATAATCATCTATGTCTGTCATATTTATAGTTAGACTAATCAGGTTCTTTAGATACAAAAAGATTATATTCTGTATAAATAATCTTCAACCTCTTCAAAGATCTGTAGAAAATGGCATTTAATTTAACCTTAGAGTTCTGTGGTAGTGAGACACAATTGTTCCTGGCAACACCGATCTATTCCTGAGAGATTGTTGAACACCAAAGACACTCCACTTGGAGCTTGTCTTCTTCTTGGCAAAACCGGCCACTGAGCAAGGAACTGCCCATACCTCAACTACTGACAAAATACATAGTATTCAGAAATGGATAAACAGAACTGTCAAATCTTGCCAAGACAGGGTAAGATGGTTTTGAAAAATTTCTTGCCTGTTAAAAATAATCTGCCAATTATTCTAGGCCTTAGCCAAAGTTGATTGCTTCAATGCTGCAAACGTGCCTTTGGGTGATTGCCCAGGTAGCCAGTTGTCTCTGTGATTTGTTGCATGTTTTGAAAGTTATTTGACTGCACTTCCTAATTACTCAGGTAACATTATTTCCCTTGTTAGATCTTCGATGGGGTTGAAGACTAGATAATTGTAGCTACTTTCCTCTCATGACTTGGCCAAGTTATTTATTATGCAAGACTTAAACTAGTTAGGATAAGATATTTGTTCTTATTGTATATAATTTTGTAGTAGATTTAGAACTCTCTTACTTAAACAACAGGGGGAGGTGCTGCAGGAGCGCCTTCCGCTCCTTCAGCCAATAGCCGCCAAGCTACCACCCCATGGGGTGTGGTCTATTTCTCTCTTAAAAAGAGCGGCAGTTTTCTGCTCTCTCTCTTGGTTCCGGCTCTTGCTCCAGCGACTAGACTCCGTTCCTGACTGACGGTGTTCTGTAAGTTTTCCCCTAAAATAAATATCCCCTTTGAATCCAAACTGGTGTGGGATGGTTTCGTGCATTACCTGACAGTACAGTAGCATTAACTGTCATCAGTTTAAAGGAGCTAAGTGGTCAGCCCTAATGCTCTTCTTCTGTCTTCCTAATCTTCCAGTATTTTTTTTCCTCCAGACCAAATCGCTTACTCCTCTTACATGGATTCTTGGATGAGAATGTTCATTTTGCACACACCAGTATATTGCTGAGTTTTTTAGTGAGGGCTGGAAAACCGTATGACTTACAGGTGAGTTGTTCCACATTTTCCAATTCAGTGTGGTGGTGAATAGTGAAAGATTACTCTGGAATCTGACAAAGTGAGGACTAAGGCTAAGTTTACAGCTGTGCCTGCACTCTGCCCAAGAACACTGCAGTAATAGGCGTAGTTACCAGACTTTAGTTGATAAAAATTAAGGTTCTACTGAAAGCTAACTGAAACATGGGCCTGTCCAGTTAAATAGCTTTTGTGTCTGTGTTTGTTCAGCCTGTAGGCCTGGAAATGGCTGCCGAACCCACTCACTGCCTTTCTTTGCTTCCATTCTCCCATTTCATGGGTGAGAAAATATTCCATGATCTCTTTGTTATAAGAGGGTTTCAAAGACTTGATTGTGGAACTGAGAGGTGACACATAAGGTGACTCACAGCTGCCTATAACTGCAGTTCCAGGAGGTCTGACACCTTCTGCTGGTCTCCATGAACTCTTGCATACAAATGCTCCATATAATACACTTAGATACACACACACGCACATAAAAGATAAGTAAATTTTTTTAAGATATGATTTCAAGATCTCTTACTGTTCATTTCTTTTACATTGCCATGTGAATAAAAACTAATGGGTTACCCTCCTTCATAGCTCCTTTGTGCAAAATAAATAAATGAATAAAGATTTTTGAGTGGCCAGGCGATGGTAGCACAACCTTTAATTCTAGCTCTTGGGAGGCAGAGGCAGAGGCAGGCAGATCTCTATGACTTTGAGGCCCAGCCTGGTCTACAGAGTGAGTTCCAGGACACCTAGAGCTGTTACACAGAGAAACCTAGTCTCAGGGGAAAAATTATTTTTTGAGAAGGTTTTAGGAGAATCTGCTTTTAGCCAGGTATACTGTCACAGAGCTATGCGCCCATGTCCTGGAAGGTAGAGACAAGAGGCTCAGGAACACAGTACTACATGGCAAGTTAGAGGCTAGGCTACTGAAATGCATTCTCCCCAGAACAAGTGTGTGTGTGTGTGTGTGTGCGCGCGCGCGCGTGCACTCATTGCTTGATACCTCTTGTTCTTTAAGATTGTATGTTCATGAGAAATTATAGCCTTTCCTTTTCTTTTGATGTTTCAGTTGACATTTCTATCCTGTTAAACACATTTGTCCATAGTAACAGTTTTCAAGCATTTTGATCTCAGAAATCCTTTACATAGCTCAATGCCTTGTTTGTGTAGGTTATGTCTGCAGTGATGGTGACCATGGTGACACATGCAGGCAGAAGCAGGAAAATCCAGAGGGGAGAAAAACTCATAGAGAATTAAAACAGAGACAAATATTTATTTTAAAGGAACAATAATAAATTACTATATGTTAACACAAATTGCATTCATCTTGGGGAGAAAATAATTCCAAAACAACTTACAGAGAAAAATGCTGTTATTTTATTTTTGTTACTACTCCATTGAAGAAGACATGTTTTTGCATTGAGTCTGATGTGTTGTGTTGTTTTGACTAAAGTATATGAAAAGAGGCTAAACAGATGGTTCAATGGTTAAGAGCTCTTGCAAAGGAAGGACCTTAGTTCACTTCCCAGAATCCATGTGAGACAGCTCACATGTGCCTGTAACTCCATCTGCAAGGGATCTGACACCTTCTTCTGACCTCCATGGGGCTCCACACACGGTACATACACACACGTGCACAGAGGGAGAGATTTTAAATTTAAGTATATGAAGAAAAATTGGGCCTCACTAAGTATATGTGAAGAAGTGGGAGGAATGAGTTAGCCCTCCAGCTAGCTTTTGTGGAAAACTAAACCCATATTTATAACATTTCCATGCTCTGTCACATTAAAATCTCTTATTCCTTGGACTGAAGACATGACTCAGGGTTTAGAGCGCTTATTGTTTTCCAGAGGACCTGAGTTCTATTCTCAGCATCTACTGATGGCCCACAACCACCTGTAACTCCAGTTCTAGAGCAGCAGTTCTCAACATTCCTGCATATCATATATTTACATTACAATTTATAGCCATAGCAAAACTACAGTTACGAAGTAGCAACAAAAATAATTTTGTGGTTGGGATCACCACAACATGAGGAACTGTATATCAAAGGACTGCAGCATTAGGAAGGGTGAGAACCTGTGTTAAGAGGAGCCATAGGATAATATGTATTAATATAAAACCACAGAGAGACTGTTCCGTATTGATAATCCAACTAGAAATCTCTGGAAAGATCCTAGCACATGAGCCCTAGAGACAGGAAGATCTGGAGTTTGTGGTTGGTTATCCCTGACTGCGTGGTGAGCTTTAGTTCAGCCTGGGCTACCTAAGATCCAGTCTCAAAAAGCAGTATACAAGTAAATTACTGTGTCTAGAAAGTTTTGGAAAGAGGAGTATCACTAAACTTTCTCTTCTTGCCTCTGCTCTTTGTTGTGAAGATCTACCCTCAGGAGAGGCACAGCATCAGAGTCCCCGAGTCTGGAGAGCACTATGAGCTGCACCTGCTGCACTACCTTCAGGAGAACCTCGGATCACGCATTGCTGCTCTGAAAGTGATATAAGTGACTGCAGAGTGCAGGTGTGCACTGTCACACCTCACGAGGAGGGTCAGTCAGTGGAAAAGCCAGACTGATGATTGAACTTTGGTACCCACCACGTAAGATCTACTTCTAAAAGTAAATTTGGTGCCATGCAGAAATCTGCAGTTAATGGATAGTAATCTAACACCTTATCCATCCACACAGAACGAATGACGTATTTCCAAGAGATTCTTCAGCAGTACCACGAGGATAATGAAAGAAGCAAGGCATCAGCACCACATATTCACACTAGCCTATTTTCACTTTTACTAGCAGTGTAAGCCTCTTGGACTTAATTAGTGGATTTCACAGTATACTTCTGGGTTTGTTAAAATATGATAGTAGTGATTGGTTTGATTCAATTCCAGGATCTCTGACTAGTTATGGATTCGATAGCACTTATGTCTAATTGAATAGCTTATGCTTTTCGTCACTTGGGGTGTATCCAGCATGTCATGAACTAATTACTATTAAGCTTATGACTTTCCCAGTCATTAATGATTTTTCAAGGATAACTTAGTGGCCTCCTAAAGATACTTACTTGGGCTCTGACAAGTTTTTAACCAATTTAAACAGCATCTAGTATAAATAATTCTCCTTTTTCTTTGATGATATGATGGAGTGGGGTTTCCTTTTACATAAAGGCTATGTAGCATGAGTTTATACAAGTCTCAAGATGTTGACAATTACAGACAAAAAAAATTTAATCAAATTATTTGAGAACTTGAAAATTAGCAGGCAAATTTTCCTCCTTTTAGGAACAGAAAATGAACACATTCATTTGTATTCTTAAAATGTAATGGTGCCCATTTTCCTTTACCAAACTATTCCAGAGTTTCCAGGAGGTAGAAGGATTACAGGGAGTGGGGAGACCCTGGTGCAGGGAGTGACGGGGAAAGGAGGCAGCCAGGCTCTGCTTAAGAACTGAGTAAAATAGTTCAGCAGAAATATTCCTGAGAAAACCCGGGTAAATGTAAGTTCCCTGCGGGTCTGGGAATCAACTAGGAAGTCAGGCTTTGCCAGCACCGCTAAAGGATCAGCATTCGGAGGAGGACTTTTATAATTCCAACTTTTTGTTATTTTTCCTTTCAACTTTAGAAACCTTACAAATCTAAACCTTAACTTTTGTTTATGTTTTTTCATTTTTCAAGACAGTTTCTCTATGTAGCCCTGGCTGTCCTGGAACTCACTCTGTAGACTAGGCTGGTCTCGAATCCAGAACCCACCTGCCTCTGCCTCAGAGTGCTGGGATTAAAGGCATGCACCACCACAACCCAGCTAATTTTTTTATCTGAATGTAATTTAGATATCACTAGTTTAAAATAAAAAGTTTCCAGACCGCTTCTTTGCTGTTAAGCTAATCCCTGACAAACCATGACGCTCTCAGTGCTGAAAGCCTATCAGCAGTTATTTACTTGGCCATGACATCCTCCTGGCTTAGCCTTCCTGCTTAACTATGAAGGGAATACATTAGTTTTTAAGGTTGGTGTCTGCTCTTTAGGGCCTTCCAGTATTGGATGAGTCCCATTGGAGCCAGGCTCCTGTGGGTTTGACCCTTTTTAATCACAAACTCCAGTGTTTAGGAAGTTACAGTGATTTAAAAGTCACTCCAAAAAACTTGCTGTGTCTCTTTCTCCCTCCACAGCAGGTCCCTTCCCAAGAGCAGTTTGCATTAGTGAGCGTGGTAGCAGTCATGGGTGATCAGAGGTGGGGGAAGGGAGGGTGATATCTGCTGGCTGTGTATTTATGCTGTATGATAGAGTCCACAGTTTTTCTTATTGTCTTATCTATTTTGACTTTAATGCTTATGACATTTTCTCGTGCCAAAATTTGTTTATATTTTTCAAAGTTAAATTAAACTGATTTGGGTAACTTTCCTTCCCCAACAAAGTATTTCCCTCATCACCTAAGTATCTGTCTTGGCTGTTGAGGGTGGTATTCGCTGGACCAGCTAGCCTCCAAGTGCTGCTTCATTCTAAAGAGGAATGACATAAAGTCATGCTTTTGAAATCTCTCACCCTTAAGTTTGCTTTATAATGGGACATCTCTTATTTTATGCAAACAAACCTTCGAGAATTTCACTTATGCTAGGTTCTCTTGGATTTATAACCATGTCATTTAAACCTCATTCTACTTCTCCAAGGGGAGAGTGCTTTGCTCACTTGCACCAAGGTGGCTTGCCTGGGTTTGCTCTTCTACACAGTGTTACATCGGTTAGTGGAGCAATCGGAAGCCACTCTAGAACTGTCTGTCCTCTGACTGTGGATGCCAACGAGAAAGGCAGCAGTCCGTGACACTCTAAGTTTGATGGGAGCCAGGAAGCACTCACTGCGCATCTAAGTGGAGTTTCCCAGGCTTGTATGGAGTGAGTGCATACAGTGCACTTGAGCAGCAGGTAGTGCTCCTCAGCATTTAGAGCAGCAGGCCTGGGAGGTTCATCCAGGACCCTGAGCTCACAGGGCACAAGCTCCGTCAGTTTGGGTAGAGACTGGGAGCATGCACTTCTAACACAGCAGGCTTCCTGGTGCTTCTGTCAGGTCACTGTAGATGGCTTTAAGGAACTGTTCTGTAAAGAACAGCGTTGGAGTCAGAGAAAAGGTGACTTTTACTTTGGATAATTGTTAAGAACCCAAAACAGGCCCCAGGCGGTGGTGGTACACACCTTTAATCTCAGCTCTTGGAAGGCAGAGGCAGGCAGATCTTTGAGTTCAAGGCCAGCCTGGTCTACCAGGGCTAGTTCCAGGACAGGCTCCAAAGCTACAGAAAAAACCCTGTCTCAGGGGAAAAGGAACAACAACAAAAAGAGCCCAAAACAGTAGTCAAGAAAACTGTCATCTGTGATAATTGTGGACCTCTTCTTGTAGAAACAGAAACAAGTAACTCTTTATTTGGGGGGGAATGGCTTTTCCCATTTCTGACTCTCCCAAAACCTCACACAGGAAGGTACAGTCATGATACACGTCTGGCCCTTTAAAGCCGTGAGCCCTGGAGGGGGTGTGTGCTTTTGTTCAGGTGTTTCCTGCCTTTACCGCATGGTTCTCTCTGCAGGTGGGATGACTCCAGTCAGAGCTTGCATTTTTACAGAATCATAAATTTTCCCACTGGAACAAATCTTTAGCATAACCCAGTATTTTTGTTTGCTAGGGGAAAAGACTGTTTGCCTGAGACCCCACAGTTGGCTAATACACAGGACCAGCCTCCATCTGCAGCCTGCCTCGTGGTAGTTATAATAGTTAAGAAAGGCAGGGCTTTTAAAAAATATTTATTAATATATTCCTATGAAACACTTTAAAGGGAACCACATAAAAATGGTTCATTTAATCTGTTTTAGTGAATGCTAGGCTTGCTTAGAAGCAGAACTTCTGATGAGTGTAACATTCAGAAGTGAACTGAAATTGTAATACTAAATGTCTTGGTTGGTGTCCTGGGAGATAAGGACACAGAGTGCTTGCTCAGGCCCAGGAGCCCATCTTGAGCTACTTGATGTTAGACAAGAGCCTCAGCCTGATCTAAACTATGTAATGTGAGAGTGTCCTCTCCCAGCAGATGAGAGGGAACTGGAAACATCCCCAGCTGCGCCCTTCCCAGCCCCACCCCTCCTCTCCAGTCTGCCCTCCTGACCGCTTGTGCAAGGAAGGTGCTCAGCTCTAGACAGCTGTTCCAGAAACTCCCTTGCAGACACAGCAGCTGTGTCTATATGTTTGGTTTTCAGTAACCCTAATACAAATTTATGTTGTTTTCAGCAAAGTTAAATGGGGGGAATCTTTAATTTTAGCGCATAAAGTGCCTGCTGTCTCAGCGCTGACCTGTACATGATCTGCATGTCTCTCTCCAGTAAGCATATGGGTCTCTCATTTCCAGCCCCAGGGCTTTTAATCGTGTGATGTGAAGCATTAGTTTCGCTGCATTTTATTACAGGTTCTTGGTTGCAATAAAGATGCTGCTAAAATTAACTGACTTCAGTACTCCTTCCCTGTCTGTCTAGCCTTTGCTTTGGTGACTCAACACCTGTGGAGTGACTGCTACACAAGGTCATGTGACTGCAGTGAAGAGAGAAGTTGGGGCTGAGGGGCAGGATTATGTGGGAGTTCCAGTACAAATACCGACCATCTGCACTGAGTGGGAAGTGTGTGAGCGCTGCTCAGTCTCTGTCTGAGGTTCCCAGATGCCAACCAGGGCAGAGGGTGCTTGGAGCCAGGAACTAACAGATACTCCTGGACAACTGGGGGCTTCTGGGATATACCACTGACAGATACCCCCTGGACAACTAGGTGCTTCAGAACATACCAGTGACAACTGATCGGGGTATCTACGAGTTCTGGATGTCTTGAGAGCTTAGTGTAATGCTTTAATTTTTAGGTTACACTTACTTGTGCCATGGTATGAGTGTGGAGGTCAGAGGACAAGTTGTAGGAGTCAGTTCTCTCCCACCAAATGGGTCCCAGGGACTGAGCTCAGGCTGTCACGTGCGGCACAAGCTCCTTTACCTGCTGAGCCATCTACCCAGCCCTGTGTAATGTTTTTTTCCTTTGACAATTCTGGAGGGTTTGCCATCCTTATTTTCCCACTTGTGGTACAAAATCAGGGCCCCTGGCACTCTAAGCAAGTCCTCAGCCTCTGAGCTATATCCCCAAGCCAACAATTCTGATTTTTCACAGCAAGTTGAGTTTGTTGATGTTCCAGAACAGAGTTTATCTGGGTTCTGTGGCTCTCTGTGGTTATGTATAAAACGTCACATGAACAAACAGGAACCAACCATGACTATCAGGGTCGTTTTTGGTTTTAGTTTTGGTTTTTTGTTTATTTGTTTGTTTGTTTGCTTGCTTGCTTTTCGAGACAGAGTTTCTCTGTGTAGCTTTGGAGCCTATCCTGGAACTCACTCTGTAGACCAGGCTGGCCTCGAACCCACAGAGAATCCTCCTGCCTCTGCTTCCCAGGTGCTGGGATTAAAGATATGTGCCACCACCCAGCTAGGGTCTTTTGTATATAAAATTAGGAATAAAAGTTTGGGGTTGGAGAGATGGCTCAGAAGTTAAGAGTACTCGCTGATCTTCCAAAGGACCTGGGTTCAAATCCCAGTGCTCACTTAGCAGTTAATAACCATTTGTAACTTTAGTTCCAGGGGATCTAGAGTCCTCTTTGTGCCACTTCTGGCACAAAGCACCTACATGGTGCACATAAAATAAAATTAAAGTAATTGTATAATTACTTCTTCTAAGCTTTTCACCATGTCTCACACACACCACAAAATTATTGTCAGTGTGATCAATGCCTCTATTCCCAGCACTCAGGCAGGCATATTTCTGTGAGTTTGAGGCCAGCCTGGTCTACATAGTGAATTTCAGACCAGTTAGAACTACACAGCTTAGGAAAAGTCCTGTCTTAGGGGCAAAAAAAAGTACGACACAAGGGTAAACTGAGAAACACCAGAATAATCTGTTGAGATTGTAGCCAGAAGTCACCGGCCAGACCCAGCCCATCTCTAAAGAAAATTTTTTTTATTATTATTATTATTACATTTATGTGTTTATTGTGTAAGTGTGCATGTGAAGGCAGACAGCAACTTCTGGGAGTTGGTTCTGAGCCTTCAACATGTGGATTCTGGAGACTGGACTCCGTCACTAGACTTGGTGGCATAGGCTTTTTAACTGAGACATCTCCCTGGCCCCACTACCAAGATTTGCCCCTGAATGTGCACATAGTCTGTGTGTGGTACCATGACAGAAACTACCTTGTCTGTAATTCAGCCTGGACTGACTTCTGATGAGAAATCAGCTTCCCATCAACCTGCATGCTGGGCTGGAAGTATTAGAGATAGCCAGTGGCCACAGCTTCCACAGTTACAGGAGCAAACACAGCCCCAGAACCTTTCCACTGTTGTTTGCGTAACCCCACCCACCCAGTGAATAAGCAGGCAGAGTTAAAGCAGCAGCAATGTGAGAATCTTCTAATTAGAGCATGCAGGACTGCTATGGTTTCAGGAATTGCTGGGATTTAAGTGCTCATCAGTCTGGCCCACAGTGCTCCACAGATCTGATGCCCTAGCTTTTCGATTCAGAAAACAAGCTGCCTCTGACAGAAATAGAGGTTTCGGCTATAACATAGACACTGGGATTGTCTAGATTGCTGTTTGTAGGAAGTTCTTTGGCCTGTAGGAAGAGTCCTGAAACCACCGGGCTCTTCTGTGAAGCATGTCCTCTGTTTAGGCTTAGTTAAGGAACACATGTTCATAAATATCCATACACTTGCACAGGCCTGTACTTTTCAGTCCAATGCTCTGTTGTTGGCCTTGCCAGTTAAGCTGCTGAGCTGTCTCTGCAGTTTAGTCTTTCCTCCTCATTCCTTTCGCCGCTCCTGCCCCAGGGTGGGTCTTGTCTCCTGCTGGATACTTGCAGCAGCTCTCGCATTAGCCTGATGGGGTAAAGAAAAAATGCCAGTGGGCGGTGGTGGTGCACGCCTTTAATCCCCAGCACTCGGGAGGCAGAGGCTGGCAGATCTCTGAGTTAAAGGCCTTGGTCAATAGAGGGATTTCCAGGACAGCCATGGCTACACAGAGAAACCCTGCCTCAAAATAAAAAAATAAATAAATCCTGAAAAGGGGGAAAGGAAAAAAAGGAAACATTTGAGCAGGTGTGATGGTACATATCTTTATTCCCAACACTAAGGAGATCGAGGCAGTTAAGTTGCAAGTTGGAGACCAGGCTAGCTACACAGCAAGACCTATTTCTACCACAGCAACAACATAAGTTTCCGAAGAGTCCAGTGGGTATAGTGGTATGCACCATGGTCCCACTCAGGAGGCCAAGGTAGGAGGCCACGGGAGTACAAGATATTGAGGAAGCTTGGGTAATAATATAGCAAGACCTTGTTGGGGCAGTGGGAGGGGGCTTGGGAAGAATTGTGTCCCTTGACCTGGTTTTATTTTGCCTCTCCTCAGCACATGGGGTGGGAGGCTCTTGAGGCTTTCCATTTTCAGTCAGTATAGCATGGGTCTCCATCAGAGCTTTTGCCTGTATGGGGTTTGGGATTGTTGCCCAAGAGAGGTGGAGAAGCAAAATGGCAGCCACATTAGCTTTCAAACCTGGCTGCACCTTTGCTTCCTGCTAGTTTAGGCGTTTGGGCCCCATCTACAGTATCCTGACCCTCTGTGTTCCTAGGTGTAAGTTGGCAATGATAAATCCGTCGTCAACAGACCCTGAAAGCACCTGCAGCGCTGGAGGACTCAGTGACGGTCAACTCAGAATGAGTACTTCATTTTATGCCATACAGTTCCTGCCAGCTCTCTTCCTCTAGTTGGATTACAGACTCTGGAGGTAGCGCTCCTAAGCTAGTTGGCTTCTCTTCGGGTGTCTGTGGAGTCAGACAAGTAGGATTCACTTGCTAGATACTTACTTCCAGAGTTTTCCAGATAATAAATACATGACCACTGAGGTGGTTCAGCAGGTAAAGGCACTTGCCTCCAAGCCAGGTGACCTGAGTTCAAACTGGGGACTAGCAAGGAGAGAGCCAATGCCCAAAGGTTGACCTCTGACCTCTATACATGAACCATGGCATTTGCACGCACACAGCACACACAAAATGAAGGAAATAGAAAATAAATACTGAAGGGCTGGGATGTAGTTCAGTTGGCAGTGCTCAGCCCCAGGCTGCATTCTGGCATTCCTTCTACACATAGAATGTGTTTTTCTGTTTTGTGTTAGTGATAGCCGTTTGACTGGGCGATGGTATAGATTTGCCTTCCCCTGGAAACTAATTAGACTGAGTGCTTTTCATGAATTTGTTAGCCATTTATTTTTGTTTGTATATTTGTTTGGATTTTTGTAACTTTTTAAAAACTGTCTATGGGGGGCTGGAGAGATGGCTCAGTGGTTAAGAGCACTGACTGCTCTTCCAGAGGACCTGTGTTCAATTCCCAGCACCCACATGGCAGCTCACAACTGTCTGATGATTCAGTTCCAGGGGATCTGACACCTTCACACAAATGCACATAAAATAAAAAAGTTAAATAAACCATAAAAAATATTTAAAAATGAATAAATAAATAATAAAAACTGTCTATGACTGTGGTGGTCTGAATGAGATGCTTCCCATATTCCCAGACATCTGAGTCCTTTGTCCACAGTTGGTGACACTGTTTGAGTAGGTTTAAGAAGTGTGGCCTTGTGGAGGAAATGTCACTGGAGGCAGACTTTGAGGTTTCAAAAACCATGTGCTATCTGAGTGCACTCTCTCTGCTTCCTGTCTGTAGGTGGAGATGTGTGCTCTTAGCTACTGCTCTCGCCACCGTGTCTGCGCGCCTCTTGCCGTGCTCCCCCTGTGATGGTGATGGACTCTGGAGCAATAAGCCCAAAATAAACTCATCTAGAAGCTGCTTTGGTCATGTTATTCTATCCTAGCAATGGAGAAGTCATTAATACAATGAGTGTTTTGCCTGTGTGTGTGTGTGTGTGTGTGTGTGTGTGTGTGTGTGTGTGTGTGTGTGTGTATGTGCTCCATGTGTGTGACTAATGCCCAGGGAGTGTAGAAAAGAGGGTCAGATCTGGAATTGGAGCTCCAGTGGTGGTCGGTCACTGTATGGGGGCTGGGGACTGAACCCTGGTCCTCTACAAGAGCAACAAGTGTTGCCAACTGCTGAATCATCTCTCTAGCCCTGGTTTTTGTTTTTTAGGAAGGTGGTTGTGGGTTTGGGTTTTTTGTTTGTTTGTTTTGTCTTACTTTGTTTTGAGACAGGATCTCACTGAGTAGCCCAGACTGGTGTCTAACTCACAATCCTCCTGCCTTCCAAGTGATAGGTTACAGGCATGCACCACTTTGCCCAGCTCTGTACAAAGCCTTGAACAATAGTTCCCGTGTTTTATTCTCGGAGTTTCGTGGTTTTAGGGCTTACATTTTGAATTTTGATCTATTTTGGGTTGATCTTCGTATGGGGTGTTAGGCTTCAGCATTTATCTTCTTTGACCTGTTGAAAACACTGTCCTTTCACTGGTGAGCTCTCTATGCATCTGTCGCCAGCTGGCTGCAGATATTTGCATTTATTTCTGGGGTCTCTGTTGACAACAGGAAGAAAGCTCTAGACCAATATCCTAAGGAACACAGATGCAAAACATGTACAAAAGCAATCCAATTCTAGCAACTCAAGCCCTACAGCACACAGAAAGATCCTTTACTACGATCAGACTGAATTTATCCAAGGGTTACAAGGATAGCTCAATGTATGCAAGTCATCTACCAGGATGAAGAAGAAAAATCAGTTCCTGATGAAATACAGCTCAGTGGTTCAATCTCCAGCAGTAGGAAAAAAATATACACAGTCATCTCAAAAGCTGCTGAGCTGAGCAGTGGTGTTGCACACCTTAAATCCCAGCACTCAGGAGGCAGAGGCAGGTGGATCTCTGTGTGTTCAAGGCCAGCCTGGTCTACAGAGTGAGTTCCAAGACAAACAGGGCTCTGCAGAAAAACACTACCTCAAAAACAACAAACAAGCTAAAAGTATTTGATACAATCCAATATGCCTATGCCTTCATGCTGAAAATCCTCAACGCATTAGGTACAGAGCCTTCCATGCATGCATGAAGACCTGCATTTGCTCCCCACAACCCACATGAAAAACCTGGTGTAGTGGTTTAACACTTGTAACCCCAGCACCAGGGAGGCAGAACCAGGTGGGTTTCTAAGGCTCCATGGAAGCTGGCATAGCCTACTTGGTGAACTCCAAACCAACAAAAGATCTTATCTCTAAAAACACTGAGATGACCAGAGGCTAAGAGCACTTGTAGAGCATGAGGATCTGAGTTCAAATCCCTAGGATTCACATAAAAAGCTGGGCTTGGCAATGCACACTTGTAATCCCAGCATTAGAGATAGAAACAGGCAGATCCTGAGAGCTCTCTGGCTGGCCAGCCTAACCGAAATGATGAGATTCTGGGTCAGTGAGAAAATCTGTCTGGAATCAGTGAGGCAAAAAAGGGTAGAGAAAGACATCCAAAGTTTTACTCGGGCCTCTGTGAATACACATAGGTATGCACACCCACAGCCCATATGTACATGCAACACACACACACAAAATGGATCTCTCTTCTGAGGAAGACCTGAGTTTGACCTCTAGCCTCCTCAAGTGCACACACAGACACACACACACTCACACACACAGTTGAACAAAAAGAATAAAGCTGGAGGCATTATAATATCTGATCTCAGCTCAGCTACAGTAACCAGAACAGCACAGGGGTAGCAGAAGAACAGACACTGAGCTCAACAGAACAGAACAGAGCATCGGGATCCTTTCTCATGACGTCCCACTGAGGCTTCAAGCCAAGAGCAGTGCTTTCCTCAGCCTGCTTGCTGTTACAGTTGCCTGGGGAGCTTTTAAAAGCGTGGTGTCTGAGTTCTTCCTGGGATCAATTACATCAAAACAAAGAGGAGGGTCCTGCCATCGTTTAATTTTTATAAACTCCCCAAGTGATCTTAACGTACAGCTAGAGTAAAGAGCCTCTGAGGTGGACTGGTTGAAGATGTTCGCAGAATAGAGAAAGCAGCCAATCTATTGCTTCACAGAGGAGCTGAGACTGCTGATTACACTTCAGCCATGCCAGGAGGGAGGAAGGGGAGAGAAGGAGAGAAGAAGGAGAGCGTGTCTGTGGGGCTGGTGATATGGATCAGGGCTTAAGAGCACAGCTGCTCCTCCAGAGGATCTGGGTTCGATTCCCAGCACCCACATGGCAGCTCACAACTGTCTCTAACTTCAGTCCCAGGGCATCTGACGCCCTCTTCTAGCCTCATACACTAGGTATGCATATAATGCTCAGAAATACACAGAAAGACCACTCTTATGCCTAAAACAAAAGTTAATAAATATTTGTTTGTCTGTTTGTTTGTTTTTCAAGACAAAATCTCTCTGTGTAGCCCTGATGGCCTGGAGCTTGCTTTGTAGACCATGCTGGTCTTGAACTCCACCTGCTTTTGCCTCCCAATATCCTCCTAAGTCATATCAGATCCAACGCCAAAGTGAAGGTGTCTGGGTGGACCATAGAGAGTGAGGAGGGCTCTGGGTGTCTAGCCCTCCTCCATCCTGAGCAGCTGGGCTTTCTCTCCTGAGTGACGGGAAAACATGGTAAATGAAAATGCCCCAAACTGAGCTGGAGAGATGACTTGCTGTGTGATCATGAGGACCCGAGTTACAATCCCCACTACCCACATACAAAGTCGGGCAGTTCAATAAGAGATCCTGCCTCAAAATATAAGGTGGAAGGCCTTAGATGGCTCAGAGGAGGAAACTGCCTGCTGCACAAAGCTTGCAATCCAAGTTCAAGCTCCTGAGCCCACGGAAAGATGTAAGAAGGGACCTGGCTCCACAGAGCTGTTCTCTGACCTCTACACGGCCCCTATGGCATCAGTGCCTGCACACACATCATGCACCCCCACCCCCCCACACACACACAGGGTGGGGTAGGGAAGGAGAAATGAGAGAGGAGAAAGAGAATGGAGACAGAATATCAGCCAAGCGCAGTGATGTGCACCTGTAATCTCAGCACTTGGAAAGTAGGACACAGTAGGATAATGCGTTCAAGGCCAGTCTGAACTACACAGTAAAATTGTGTTCTAAAAACCTATGTCCCTAAACCCTTAGGAAGAAATCTACTGTCTTTTACTAAACTGTCATCTTTTCAAACTGCCTTCTAAATATCTTTTATACACACACACACACACACAGAGAGAGAGAGAGAGAGAGAGAGAGAGAGGGAGAGAGAGAAACTTCTTTTCACAGTGGGTAGTACTTAAAGCAGAGGCTCACAACTAGTCAAAGCATGGTGACTAGGTGAGTGGATACTCAACCCTAAATGTAACATCTACATCAAGCCCCCTCTCTTCAAGTTTTAGGGAACATTTAAGAAGAGGGGTAGAGCCTGTAAGAGCTGGAGGATGGCAAGGAGTCCTGTGAAATGCCGTCTTTAGACACAGCACACGGATGTCCTCATGAGCTCACACCACTGTCCTGTGAAATGCCGTCTTTAGACACAGCACACGGATGTCCTCATGAGCTCACACCACTGTCCTGTGAAATGCCGTCTTTAGACACAGCACACGGATGCCCTCATGAGCTCACACCGCTGTCCTTAGATGCACAAGATCAAGTCAGTTAAAATTCCAGCTTGAGCCGGGAGGTAGTGGCACACAACTTTGATTCAAGCACGCGGAAGATAGAAGCAGACAGATCTCTGTGAGTTCAAGGCCAGCCTGGTCTACAGAACAAGTTAGTTTAGGATAGTCAAGGCTACACATAGAAACCCTGTCTCAAAAAAAAAAAAAAAAAGGAAGGAAGGAAGAAAGAAGGAAAGAACAATAAACAAAAAGGGGTATGGAGAAAATTCCAGCTTGGAGGCTGGAGAGATGGCTTGGGGCCTAAGAGCACTGTTGCTCTTCCAGAAAACACAGATTTTACTCCCAGCATCCATGTGATCAATAGATAGTAACTGTAATTCCAGTTCCTGGGGATCTGACACCTTTTTCTGAACCTCACAAGCACCATGCATGTGGTACACAGACTTACATACAAGCAAAACACCCATACACATTAAAAAAAAAAACTAAAATCCAGAATTGATTGGGGTGGCCCCACCCCTCGCTGAGGAGACACAGGCAGTTGATGGCTGCTGGGTAAGAGAGAGCCAGTTTTCTTTGGGAGTGTGGCCAACAGTAGATTGCCAATTCTCCAATGATGACTCCATACCCATCTTCCCATGAGCAACAATAATTGGACTCAGTGAGCTGTTTAAAAAAGAAAAAGGACATGAAGTTAGTAGGAGAACGTGTTGAGAGGCGTTGAGGAGAGCACTGGGTGGGTATGATCAAAACCATTGTGCAGGATAGAGGGATGGCGCAGGGGCTGAGAGCACCAGCTGCTCTTCCAGAGGACCCAGGTTCCATGCCCAGCACCCACATAGCAGCTTACAGCTGCCTATAACTCCAGTTCCAGGGATCCAGTGTCCTCTTCTGGACTCCAAGGACACTAAGCATACACGTGATGTACATGCATGCATACATACACACAAAACACACAAACATAAATGAATAAATTTTAAAAAATGTGTTTTATACAAGTATCAAATTCTCAAAGAATGAATTAAAATACTACTAAGAAAGTAACAACTAGCTCGGCGCTGGTGGCACACACCTTTAATCCCAGCACTTGGGAGGCAGAGGCAGGCAGATCTCTGTGAGTTCAAGAACAGCCCGGTCTACAGAGCTAGTGCCAGGACTGTCAGAGCTGTTACACTGAGAAACCCTGCCTCAAAAAACCAAATTAAAAGAAAATAACTGGAAAAAAAAACACAACAACAACAGCAACAGAAAGAACCGTGACCCTGTGC